CCTGTCAATCAGACAGCAGAGTGGGACCTGAAAATATTGTCGGGATCTTTCCCGGCTGCAGTGCAGAAGTGAGAAAGAAATCTATACAATGTGAGATAAATCCTCTCTTAAACCGTTGTCACCAGAACATGTGTCCCCATTGGAACATCTTCCCTCTATTCCTATTCTGGTAGAAACTCCAAAGTTTGGGTTTTCCCTTGCTTTCATTCGCAGGTCAAGGGTTGCCAGGACAAATTAAGTGGGTGAAATTCTCTAGTGATGACATAACGGCAACAAAACCCCTAGCTAATTTATCCAAAAAAAGTGCTTAGACAAATGTTTGACAAGGTCAGTAATCGCTTTTTTTTTTAACTGTAATTGTAGTTTACATGTTAACAGTGCGGAAAAAACACAATTTCTAAAGATACTGGTATTAAATTACTGGCTGCTATTGTCAATTGACCTAACCTATTACATTTATAGCTCTGGGCATAATGCCACATGAATGAACTTCTGAATTCCAGGTGTATGGTATGTAGGGAAAAAATGATATACTTGAGATAAACAAGGAGCAGCAACAATGAATTCCACAGTTTAAAGAGGAAATAATTAATATGCACTCTAGCTTCTCTACACTTTTTTTCCCTTCAGTTATCTGTCTGAGCTTCAAGGAGGCTGGTGCACATTAAAAAAGGTCAGCAGCTCAATGGCTGACCAAAAAAGTTAAAGAATGTTATGTGATTTTTTTAAAACTAGTTTGTTGTGTTTTCCATTTGCAAGTTATGGTAACTCTATTTATTTACTTAATATGTCTGCTTGTGTGTGGGTTGTAAAAGAACCAAAGGGAAGCAATACAGTAGTCAAGACCAATCGAGAAATATGGGATAGGAGAATATTTTACAGTTCAGGTAATACTCAATGGGATCATTTTCTTCTGTTGCTGTGCATTGGCAGGTCATTTTAAATTAAAATGTGGTGCCTTAATACAACATACAGTATGTCCGCTTGCAGAATACCACATCACAGCACAATGTAGAAGAGGACATTAGGCCATGATCTGGCAAGCTAAAAATTCTCTTCAGTGCATTGTTCCTTTTATGATTCACCAAAGATAAACAGGCAATGGGAGGAATTTATCAAAAGTGGAGCAGACAAAATCTGGAGCAGTTGTCCATGGCAACTAATCGGCTTTTCTGTTTCATATTCAAATTGTAACTGAATAAACTGAAAAGAGAAGCTGATTGGTTACTATGGGCAACTGCTCCAGATTATGTCTGCCCCACTTTTGATAAATTCCCCAAATGTGTTACCCAACTATGGGGATATTGCTCTGTGTGCTTTAAATTGTGTATTTGTATTTTAGGCTGTTTAAGGATCTCCTGCAGGTATTATTATTTTTTTTTAAATATACAATTATGTGTGCTGGGTTATGGCCTGGCCATGTTCAAGCCTATTTCTGGGGGGGAAAAAAGCCTCCTCTTGTGGTGGGGCTACCCCTGCAAGGGTTAACTGCTTGTTTTTGTCAAGAGGACTGGTGTAAAGCCATTTTACTTACCTGGTTCCTGATCTTCCTGGCTCCAATACTGGCACCTGCAGCATCTTCACTGGCAGTCAGAGGCCCACTGACATCATTACCTTTGCTGCAGGGTCCATACCCCTGCATAATACGTAAAAAAAGCTGATGGGACAGTCCACAAACAGGAGCAGATGGAAGAGAGGTGAGTGCCCTCTGTCCAAGAAGCAGGGATCAGACAAGTAAAACTGCTTTACACAACCCCTTACACATAAACGAGCAGATAATCCTTGCAGTGTGGGGCCCCACTGCAAGGAGAATGTTTGATTTTTTTTGTTTCCCCAGAGATGGGGAAAGCAGAACTACACCCTCCTATCTATTACAGCCAAGAAGGGTACCATTTTAGCCTCTATCAGATTGCAGTTGCAATGGTGATGCACAGCTATGACACCAGCCATTTGAGGCTTGGAAGTTCAATTGAGAGCTGAAATAAGAACACTGGCAACATTGACAGTTGGCATGCCTTCAATGTTTTAGGAGACATTAAATTGGTGGGTTAGGTTCCTCTTTTGTGGATATGTGCCAAGGGCTGCATGTTAAGGGCGGGCATCATGCTTCAGCATTTACAGACTGTGATAATTGTTCATTGTTTCCCTCTTCTGCCACCTCTGAACATTTGCAGCCAAATTCAGCAAGAAAGCTGTATGGGAAAAGGGGTGCAGGGGATGGTAAGAGGCTTTCTATAATGTAGGTAATAAGCTGAATTATAAACTTTCTCTTGTTTGATGGTTTGTACAGTTGAACGTATATGTGAATATATAAATTAGAGAGCTTGCTTTCTCCAACGGTGCATTTGTTTTTACTACATTAATCACAAGGCTCAAGGGACAAACTTTGTACAAAAAGGGCATCATAAAAGGGACAGCATGATGACTAAAGGCTTATTTGAACCTATGCTTCCTGTTAATCGCATGGTACCATGTGATTAATGCAGCTATAATGAAAGGCACCTACCATGCCTTACAGTGCTGCAGGTGCGTTACGTTGTCATTCATTTGAAGGCACTACTTTTTTACACCACAACGCACAGTATTGCGGTACTGCGCATTGCCTTGCATTGTGGCTGGGAGGTGCGCTGGGGTGCCATTGAAATGAATGGCAACACAAAGCAGCTGCCACGCTGTAACGCACAGTAGATGCATTAATTGCACAGTACTGTGTGATTAACAAGACACACAATTGCAAACAGGCCCTAAATACACATCTGCCACCAGTAGGGCAACAGTCTCCATCTGATCATCCCCTTTAGAGGATAATGTAAATACCCATCTTTTGCTGGTGGTGTTTGAAGGTAATTCTAATTACATACTAGAGATATTGCTGGCCAACACCAATGGGTGGATCAGTCGATCATTGTAAAGTTGGAATCTGATGAAGAGAATTTCACCTAATTTCTTTTATTTTTATGCCACATTTATAAAGTGTGAACATCTCTTAGGATCGATCCTAAAACACCAACTTAATCATCTTTTTTGGGACCACATTACTGATGGTGAAGTCCTGCATTCCATGCTTCAGAACTGAAGGGAATGTGAAGCTTATTTATTGTTCTCTTTGTTTTGTCCTACAAATATCTGGATATTTTCATTCATCATAGTCTCAACATAGGCTCTCCGCACAGGCTCAAATATTGATCTACATAATCCAATAATTATATACATATTTTGTATGATAAACGTTACCTTACGTTCTGGCGATGGAATATAAATCTAGCTCTGTTATCTGATATAGTTACAAATGAGATCAGAACAGATGTACAGAATCTGTAATTAACTTTGGAAGAACTCTTGTAATGTAGTAAGCAAATAACATATATAATTGTTTTTGATACTGGACCCTTATTATTGTTGTAGCTGATGTTAGATATTATGATGTAATGGCTATTGTAACACAACCATCTGGATGGGTGATCAAACCCAGGACCGTGAACTATGAGGATGTTTCATCATTTATAGATTGTTGCAGCCAAAACAAAGGATGAGGTCAAAGGGCGCTTTGCTCTTCCATACCACATCTTTTTTAATGAAAAGATACATCTGTTTGCATCCACCAACCATAAATATTTCATTATTTTATCGAAATTAGTGAACAGTAAACTCCCAGAGGATTCTAGCGGCTCCCGATAGTGAGCTACACAAGAAGCATGCAGTAGAATCTTGTAACAATCAATTGTACATCACTTGGGCATTTAGGGCACTCCTTGGGGCAATCATGCTACAATGATTCCTACTATAGCTACTGCTTGCTACTTGTAAAGCAGTAGTATATAGTAGCAACATATTCGTACAATTACCCATGCACTTCTGTGACCCATAGTCAGCAAATAGTTGGCTAATACCCACTATCAGGTGACAGTGCAGAGCATGCCACAACTGAAAAGGATCCCGACAATAAGATCAGGCTCCGCCCTGGCTGCCTGACAGCTGGCTCTGATGTGCACAGACCCTCCCTGGTCTGTAGCTCCAGTGAGCACTGAAGGAGCAGAAAGGGGAGGAAGGGAGGTAGTGACTAACAGTCATTGTTCTATGCTGGGAGCAGAGACCAAGAGCTAACCGATCATATGACCTCTGATCAGTCAGCTCTGATCATGTAATCAGTCAGCTCTTGGTGTTAGAGCCGGCATGTGAAAGTGTCCCACACTGACTCTTCTCCTTTCTGTTGTATCTAAACCCTTTTTTTTAAAGGGGGGGGGGGGGGGGGGTAGAGTGGTGAGGGGTTGGAACCTCTGTCAGGTTTTAAATGCCTGTGTTGCTATAAGGCAGATCCACTCCTTTTCCCTGTACTGGTGACCACTGTTAGTAAAACAGAGAAAAAAGTGAGGGGAAACTAGAAAGGTTTCAGTTGTAACCAGAACAGGAATAGAGGGGAGATCATTCAATGGGGACTTGTTCTGGTGATGACTTTTGAAGGTATTGCCCTGAATTTTTAGATTAATTTTTTTTTCTTTCTGCTTCCTGTTTCTACAGGACAGGAAGTGAAGAGAAGTCTTCCCAATCCGACACAGACCGCAGCAAAAAAAATAAATTGACAAGGCTTTAACTCTTTTATACTTTATCCACAATGCTATTTGATGTACTATAACTATAGCTGCCCTCACATGCTATATGTATGAGGGGACTGGGTACTAGTAAACGTGCTGTTTATGACTCCTGACTTATACTTTCCACTGATATCCCACACGGTATATCTTTTTTGGGTGTGGGTGTGGGTATTGGATTTCATTAGGGGCAGACCTCTGCAACAACATTTGCTTTGGAGCTAATTTAGAAATTGGAGTAGTTGTGTGGGTATTTTATGTGTACAGTTTTTTTTCTTGGACCCCATTCTTCTCCTGAAAGATAACCAAAAATGGTCTTGCTTTTCAAGCAGGATTAAACATGAAATCCCTGGAGAGGGGTGTGAACATGTGCCTGTAACTCCTTATTAATAGCTGCCAGCAATAATGTATGTTATCAAATAAGTGGCTTGTATCAGCTAACCACAGGTCCCTCACTGGTCTAGGTGGACTACTTGTTGTCACAATGGCTTGTGAAAGACACTCAGGTAAATAACCCATTGCACCTTGATGATGTAGTATATATGGACAGTGCTGACTATCCCATTATTTTCTTTTCTGTACAGTAGTCTTCCTCTCAAACTTTGTTCATTGTGTGTTGTACATTGTGTTATTTGTGACTGTCATAAAGGGTTTCCTAAAACTCCAAGCTTTGTGATTGTCATAGATATTTAGCCGTGCACTGCAGCAATTCATTGTTTTATTTTGTACAATGTTTATTAATAGAAAACATGCGACATAAATAGGGCAAAGAATGATGTTGTGCAGTAATCCACACTAACAAGGATTTCATCTTTCACCCGGCTCTTTGTTTTACCAGATCACACCCTTTTTTTTAATATAATAATATTTTGAACAAAGTACATTACAGCTTATGTGAGACTAACTTTCATTGCACCCTTTTGTTGTTTTGCCCTTTTTGTGTGTTTTTGTTTTTCCTGCAGTGTTAGACAAGTGAAAAAATGTTGTTTTACCATTAAGCATAACTGCCAAAATGATATTTTATTAGATGTGTTACAGTGACTGAATGCCTTTAATGGATCTAAATTGGACATGGATAAGCATATTTTGTGTTTGAAGTCAGCATGTAACCATTATTAGATTGTGTTTTTCAAGTTAGTGAACTGCAATTTTAAAATACTTTAAAAGGAAATGGGGAGAGCTGAGTGCTTTTGTAACAACAAAGTATATGTTGCTCAGGTCGTATTTACGTATTTCATTTTGTTGGCGTTATTTAGTAGATAATGTGCTTGAATCTTATAGGAAGCTGTTCATTATGTATGCTGTATCCAGCTGAGCGGTATGTGGTATAGGAATGTGTCTGTACCAGATGACACTCGGGATCCACTCTCCTCATTACTGCTAATGCAGCATTCCTTAGTTATTTGTTATATAATAATGTATGACTTTCATGTTATTAAAGTAAAGTGGTAATAAGAAAGTATTCTCCATTTGATTGGATATTGCTGAATTTTTGTGGATGTAAAACAAATGCACAGGACTATTCAGTGAGGATGCCGGAAGGGAAAGGGAGAGATGTTGCCCAGAGCAGATTACAGATGACTTTCTTTTTGCCGTGTTGGATAATGAAAGCCCAAATGTGGTTGCAATGGAAATCACTCTGAGAAACAAAGCTGGTGTTATTTTGGACAAGATTGGTTCTTGGTCCTTGTGTAGCCCAGCATTTGTCCATAAAACCCCTATACTCTTAATTTGTGAACTGGTTTAAAATTATTCCTCCTAAAGGCATAGTCCATCTTGTGCAAAAAAAAATAATAATAAATAAAGGCACCGACTCTGATAAGAAAAAATCATGTGCATTTATTCCTTGCATTGAAGCTTCCAAAGCATTGCAACCACGTTCAGTAGATTGTGGGTGTGATGCTCAGGCTCCTGCAGACTGTTCCTGTTGCCTCAGGTCTGTACCTTGGTATACTCCTGTTATGGGGTTGGAGAAAGTGATCCATGTACTACAAGTGCAGTGAGTGACCACACTTGTGCTCCATTGATATCTACTAGTCCCTCTGCTGTAGTGGCAGATGGGACTTGTACTGTTTCCATTTACAGATCCTGTGAATGGATCTGTGAATGAATGATGTGGCTGTGTGAGTAGAACCATGCACAGCCATGCCCAATTCAAATGTATACAGGAGCCTGCGGGAAGAAGAACCCTGCGATTCAGGTAATGGGATTCAGGAGGTGGGATTGTGTGGGGGGAGCAGAAGAACGTGTTCATGGTTCTGTTACACCCTAAATATGGGCATCCCATGAAACACGGTCGCAAAGGTAAACTTAGCTTTTAAATGCAATTTACAAGTGTAAAGCTTCTATGTAAACGCTTACTTTGGCAAAGTAGTTAGTTATTCGGTTTTGCATAGTGACTAAATCACCATAAAAACGTTGTCCCGGGTATGCCCAGTTGAAAGGACAGCAAAAGATACTTAGATAGACTAATAGCCTCCATTTTCAAAGTCTTACCCCCAATTTTCTGTTCTAGCAGTTGTACAGTTTCATTAAATGTGGGCATCAGAGTTTGACCACGCTGTTCAGTGCACTGTGTAATCAAGCAGACCTGGTCAGACACACCCCTCCCCTCTTCCTCAGCAATACAAGTCTGTGTGAGGACACTTGTAATGAGGGGTATGGCCATTACTCAGCTATGCCTGCATAAAGCAGTGGAGTGGGAGGGCAGGAAGTGCATTTGAAATATGAGAAAATTGTATTTTAAGGCAGAACGTTAGTGAGGCTCTAAGGACAAGGCATGAGACTTCATTTGGGCATTAGGCACTGAGTAGTGTTCACGTAACAACAGATATGTGGTTTATTTATTTCTGTATTATAAAATATTAGCAGCCCTTTTAATGCCACATCAGTTCTCAGGTTCAAAATATTTCCTGGTGATGATGGCTGTACTCAAAGGACGATGAACATAAATGGATATACATTAGGTCATAGGTTGACAAATGTTTTGCAGCATAAATTCTTCATCTATGACATGGACAGATGCATGGCGTTTATCATCTACAGCGGGGGGTGACTGCTATGTTCCTGCTGATACATTGTCTGCAATACATTTGTCACTTCTTTCCAGACATATATCATCTGACACCAGAAGAAACTTCCAGGCAGTTGGCCAGATCTGTATTAGGAAGAGTCTACTGATACAATACATACAGAAGCAGGGGAGTTACTAGAAATCCCAGGGCCCCATAGCAAAATTTTGTATGCGGCCCCGTGATTTCTAGTTATACCCCTTACAGAGCCCACTCGAGATCCCACCATAGACTCTCTATGGTGGGCTATGCAGGGTCACCCTCAGGTGGGCTGTTCGCACTCCTTACCTGTCTGCCTCCTCTTTTTTCCCTGCTGCCGACCCACGGGCCCCGCCTCCTCCTTCACTGCCCTTGCTGGCTCTCATTGACTCTGTGGAGAGGAACGTGCTGCTGCACAGATTACTGTCAGTGATCTGAACAGCGGCGTGTTCGTCTTCAGCCTCCAGTGAAAGCCACCAGCAGAGGATCCCATAGCGACCCAGGCGGCCCGCATGGCATATGGCCGGGCCCCACTGTGCCTCGGGCCCCATAGCGACCGCCTGGGTCGCTATGGTGATTGTTACGACACTGTACAGAAGGCAGAAGGTTCTGAGTCTACTGGCTGCAGATAGGAACAGCCACCATCTCAACAAACCTAACTGAGATATTTTAAACAGACTGGTGTGTGCTGCCTCTTAAATCTTGTAGTGGAGCACTGGTAAGATGCTCACCACACACGTTACAATCAGATTGTGCAATCTACTTTAGATCTACCGACAAATATGTAGTGCAATGCCTGCCTAATGGATGCAAATCAATTGGATTGATTGTATGGTCAGACTGTAACGTGTATGGTGACCTTTGGAGGAAGAACATTTACAGGGTTTCGGATACTTGATGGACCTTGTTACTTATTCCCTTATATATGACCTGTTTGTCTTGCCAGAATGTGATTGGTTGATATAGATGACACAAGCAATTCTTCTGTATGATAAGATTGATGTTTTCAGGACCAAAAGCCCTTAGGTATGAAACTTAAAATTAAAAGGTGAGTTGCCTTTAGCAACCAGTTTCATTCTATCTTTCATCATTTCATCAAATGGATATTATAATCTTATCAGTAATTTATGTAGATATAATGAACATGGGAAGAGACCATCTTGATAAATAATTGATTTAATGTGTGTTAATGCTTAAACAAAGAACCTTGTTTCTATATAATGATCATAATTATATATGTGCATGAGGGCAGCTATCTTTGACATTACATACATAGGATCTACTTCCTGCTCTTCGGTGCTATGCATTGGTTGTGCTTTACTGGTCCATCTCAAATGGTCAAACAGTCACCAGATGTACTGAAAACAATGCACTCCCCTTGTAGCTTAAATCTTATTGAAGAGCTGTTATGCAGTTGGACATAGTCATTGTAGTAGGCCTCCCTTCTTGCCTCTGGTGGCTAATATACAAATATCTAATGTTGAAGCCCAACTCTCTCTTTTTATTTTAAAATAAATTTAAATACATTGCTACTCAATGGTAAAAAAATAGTAAAAAGGACCAGCTGTAATACACCAAAAAATTCTAGTATGGCATTTCTGGATAGATAAATACCTTCCCCCTGGCTTTGACCAAACTCTATGGCATTTCTGGATAGATAAATACCTTCCCCCTGGCTTTGACCAAACTCTTTTAGAACTGTGAAAAAGTTCTCTTTGGCTACTTGATTGCCAGACGTTTTTCAACCGGTCATTCACAAGTGAGCCTTCCGCTGGTACGTTGCCTCGGCATTCCTGCTCCCTTGTTATTTCACGTTTTCAATGGTTTTGTATGCACAAATGACGTTATCGTTCATCTTTCAATCAGTAAAAACATTGGATAAGAATAAGTAATACAAATGCAGCTTACACTGCAATACTTCCTTTCAATCCAGCGCAGTCCACAGCAGAAAGTCTATTAGATTTTTCTCGCCTTCCAGTTTAGTGATGTCAAGCTTTATTTAAACCTGGTATATGGCTTTAATACACCAAATCACATCTCACAATTAATCAAGTAATACAAATACACAAAAAAAGAGTAACCATGTAAAAACACGAAAAATTACTTTTAGGTAAACACTACAAAGAAAGTCTCAGAATATGTACTCACTGAAAATACTCTCTACTTTCCCAAGAACAACACTACATTTGGTTGAATCTCTGTAAGTCTATGTCTCTGCTTCTTTTCCTGAGTGTATAATACTATGATGCTTGCTTGTATACAATACATTTTATAGCTAATACTGTATGACATGTTTACAGCAGATGGTATTCATCATTAATCTTAGAAGAGCTCTTTATGTACACAATTTTTTTCTGTGTATGTTATGTAACATGCAACATTCTACTTGAGAGGTCATCATATAAACTGCACCTGACCTGTGCAATATTGGATAGCTTGGAGTGGGGATATGGGGAATCCAAAGTGTTTGGTGGTTTCTGTGAATTTTAATAGCTGAAAATCCGTGCAGTATTCCGCTTTCTGTATAAGCTGAAAAGGAAAAAGGAAAGTCATTTAAATGCCAGTGGCATGTATTATTAATAAAGGGAAAGTGCCACTCAGGGACTTTTAAGGAAATTGTGATCATGAGACCTACATCCTCCTGACCCTACAGAATGATACAACACAGAATGAGGGGTATGGTTATTAAAACAACACCGCTTCTTTTTTAAAAGCAATCTTTCTATTCCTCCAAAGTTTTAGAACGGCCATGGTACCTAAAAGTAGGTATCTTCAGATGCTTGCAATTACCTTCTGTGTGCTTTTGAGCACCCTGAAAACACTTCTGTGATATAAATATATTTCCTAGTCAGTGGCTAGCCCTCCTGTTCCCACCTCTCTTTCATAGCTCTGTGTGCAAGTTGGCCAACTGTTGACTTTAGAAAGTAGTGTCTATATTTGAGTACAAGAACACATTTTGGGGGACCAGAGCACTCGGAAGCACATCAGAAGGTGTGTGCAGTTGCCTGAGGACCCTTTTATTGAAATTCTATGGATTTAGAAATTTGAATCAATATTAAAGTTTACGGTAACAATATTGGGGTTCATTATATGTCAAACGTTTTTATCTATTCTTTAAAATGCTGTGTAATAAGCCAGCACTCCATAAATATTGTATGTAGCACTCCTATGTAATAAAATAATGGAAAGGGCCTTGATTGACCAATTCCAACCAATCACATTTTCCATTATGTTAAGTCATTGAAAGATGAGCTCAAGACTTTTGCTTTTGCTACTTTTTATAAAACTTTTATAAGAGAAAGATAAGCTGTGATTTGTTGCTATCAAATATTGTACTTTGCATCTTTTCCTTCCGGCAAATGAATAGACCTGTGATGGTGAATAGATTGTATCTTTTATATATAAATGGGCAGAGTTGGCAAGGACAAAAATGGCAATGCACATAGCTGATCATTTTAATGTTGCAAATTTTACTTTGGAAATATTTGTCTAAAATTAGCCAATAATACTGTAACTAACAATTGCTGTACTGAAGTCTTCTACTGCAAAGTGTTGTTCTATAATTCATGGAAACCCTCCAGCTTATAGTACTGGACACATGGAAATTGAACTTTAGTTGCTATGTTGCCCACTGTGTACCATACTATTATTAGATTCCAGTGTTTTTAGTTTAGGTATAAATTTAGTAGTGGGTATATATACTCAAACTGTAATTATGGGTCCATGTAATCCCTCATAATGCCTCTTTACAAGTTTGCCAGGTTGCTAGCACATAACGTTTCTGATGAAAGCCCTCCCAGTTCCCTGGAGTCTAGGGAGGTGTTGAGAGATACACTGTGTACTTGTAAACTATGTCTCTGTACATGACAACAAATGCTGTATAAATGGAGGATGACCATAGCAGTGTTTGGCAAACTTCTGAATCCTTTCTAAAATGAGAAGGTTGCCAAGGTCGTATCATCCAGCCTGTTTGTTGTTGACATCAGTAAAGGTCACCAATGCACTCTCTTTCCAGCCTTTTATCTTTTAACCCCTTCTTAATAGCAGCTGCCATCATAGGATGTCTTCACCCACTTTATTTAGTAGCTGCTGATGAGAAGTTATTTTTCAAGGGCAGACTTAACATAAAGATTGTGTTCTATAATAGTCTATTGTTGTTTATAAAAGACAAGTATAAATGTCCAAGTTACATGATGTAAAATGGTAAACCTCAAAGCAATAATTATCTATTTAAATTACTTTGCAGAGATTGAAAGGAAGCCGTCACTTAGATTTAGATGGGCGCACTTAGATAATACACCAATACCGTGTTTTGTCTATTCAATGAATTCCTTCCAATGACAATGATTCTCTGTAAAAAAGCTTTCAAGACCAAAGTCAATTCTCCTATTAATCCTGTATCTTGCACACCTTGCAAAAAAACAAATATAATTTTTGTTTGATCAAAACTAAATGCAGATAGTTTTTATCATTTGGCTCCATGTACTTAGTAATTAGGCAAGTCAGCTTTTTCACAGTGCTTTATATTGAGGAAATGTGGGTACAGAATATTCCAACATACACTCTTGCAAGGCGGACTTTAATTAAGTTGCATGTGCCACTATGGGAGTGGAAATAGTACAAAATGGGGTTCTACAATAGACACTAATCTTTGCTTGTAGATACTGAAAATAATCTGCTACAAAATGTGACAAGGTTGTTTTAGGCTTCCTGTAGCTTTTGACGCATCTTTGCCATGTCTCCTGGCAGATTCATTTCTTATCAAATTCATTGGAAATTTGTCATCCAACATTGCCAAATGCAGCTGAGCTGAGGAAAAGTACCAATGAGAACAAGCCCAAATACAGAACATAATCTACAATAAGGCACCCAGTATATTCAGTGTATGTAATGCATTATGAATTACTACAAGGACAAATATAAGACTTTATAAGGCCATTATTCAGAGTTGCTGCTGCAATTTTTGTCCTTAGCCCAACATTTGAATTCTCTTTTAGCATATTTCATTAGCAGTAAACTTGACTGGTGAATCACTGTTGATAAACATTTCATAACAAAGCAAGTAACTCAAACATGGATCCTTCCCACTGACCCATTTTAAATTCCATGATTTTGGCTGTTTAGTCATTTCAGTGACAGATTAAGCCCTTTGCCATAAATTATTTCCAGCCGTCAGTGCTGCGCAGTATTTTTAAGTTCTGTTCTCAACTAAAATAAATGCCGTTCTTGGTAATACGCTAACCTTCACTGGACTTACATTACTGCTTTATCTGACATTATAAAATAGAATATCTTTCTCAATAGCTCCAATTTTTTATGTTTTACAGTTGCTGATTTAAGTGTACGGTACATACAATATGTTTGGGCATACGTCTTTAAATGAGTGCCATGAACATTCAATGCTGTCAAACAGCGACAACTAATTTGCCTTCTGTGTAATTTGCTATGCTCCATGTGAAAGAAAAACATTTCCAAAAATGTTTGTCATCTGGTGCAAGAAATGAAAGCTTTATCAATCCGCATACTGCTTCTACAGGTTTCAAGCATATAGCAAATGCACAGAATCTAATTTCATCCAGGAGTGAACAATTGGAAACTCATAGCTATAAACGTTAGGTGTAACCATTGTTGTAGAGGTAAAACTTAGACCCACCAAAGAAGTAAAACTCCTATCAAATATTTTGTTCACTGGCAATTCATAGTCTGGCTAAGGTTCTCTGTAGTTTTATTATAATCTGTCTACAGAGGTGGAAATGTGTGCATAGGTTTCATAATTACTCTACTTACCTTGGTCTCCATCCTTACCCATGCCCACAAGCTCTGTGTAGCAGGTTGCTCATTGGGTCACGGAGGGAAGTGGCAGGTGTGCCAGCCACCCCCTTTCCAGCCAGAGTGTCCCAGGTTGCTATGAGCTCTTACCAACCTGATCCTCTGTCTGGTGTTCCACCCAGCTCACTGACCTCACCAGTTGCCAGGACGCTCTGGACAGAGGTACTGTGCACCCCACCATCCCCACCTACCTACCCACTTCCCAATAACGTGTGCCGTCAACACCTGAAGCTCCGCCACCAGCCCTCCTGGACACAGGTGGCAAAAACTGTAGCGAAGCCCCTGCTGGGTAATTATTGAAGGGGACATGTGTAAATATAAGAGGTTAAAGTGAGGTATTGGTGGCAGTGCTGCTTGGTGAACTATTGGTGACTGGATATCAAGTTCAGATTTATCGGATTTCTCAGACTCTAATAGAAAAGGGGTTCATACATGTTCTACATATGACAGGTGGGAGGCTGCCATTGTTGATGTGCCAGGCTCATCCAACACCACAAGGCAGACAGAGAGCAAAGTAAGATATCACCCATTTGATCTCGGAACACCTTGATATGGATAAACTGGAGTCTGAACATATCACTGTGCAGATGAGATAGATCAACATTGGCTCCTATACATACTTTACTGATAATCTTTATGTTTTGTATTTTGGTGCCTTTTAAGGGTTTGTGCAGGCAATGGGGGGAATTTATCAAAACTGGAGCAGTGGCCCATAGTAACCAATCAGCTTCTTTTTTCAGTTTGTTCAATTAAGATTTGAAAATGAAAGAGAGAAGCTGATTGGTTGCCCAGATTTTGTGTGCTCCAGTTTTGATAAATTCTCCTCAATGTGCCTTAGCTCTGCCAGTTCCAGAGTCACTTGAAAGTAAATGGGGCCTCCTGAAGTGTGTAAAGGGTTTATTAAATCCTGTAAGGATCCCACTACTGTGTGTGGTGCCAAACAGAGGCTGATGGGGTTGTATAGTACATGTTATCAGCAGTATGATTTCTGGGGGAAATTGCTTGCTTCTAAATGGAATTGCATTGGATTTGCTCACGAGTTGCTTTTGCAATTAGGTTGAATTATTTGGGGAGGAAAAACAGTTCAGACAAAAAGATTTGCCCAGGTATATGAGCCCACAGCGAGCTCACCCATCAGCTGTATGTGTGTTTTATACTGTAATCATGAATTAGTTCACTGAATAAGGCAGCATCCGTACTAAAAGAGGCCCAGCCACCAAGATCCAATGGGGGCATTTACCCCCTTGTGCTAGCCCTTCTCTAAACAAAAAAATACAATTTCAGGTGAATAACAAAAAACAAATCTAACCCTTCCTCCCAACATATAAATTCATATATAAGCTGTCAGGGTGCCAGTGTAATCGCAGGAAGTGAAAAGTACATTGTGCGTGGAATAAGAGTGTTACCTTCTTAACCAGAAATAATTAGGAGACAAAGTACAATCCTTCAACTTCCCCTTTTTCTTCCATTAGGTCCCCGCCACTATACTGTGGGCACAATGTCTGAGCGCTTCGACTGCCACTACTGCAGAGCCCCTCTGCAAGGCAAGAAGTATGTGGAGAAGGATGGACACAACTGCTGTGTGAAATGCTTTGACAAGATAGTTGCCAACACCTGTGCTGAGTGCAGGAAACCCATTGGCGTTGATAACAAGGTGAGACGCAAAAACATACAATTATTTAACGTAATTCAAATGTAATATATGATGGAAAGTAATAACCCGACCTATAGGAAGTGGGTCTCTTAGAAGTCATGCAAACCACAACTGCAGTGCAAATCGCATAAGAGAATCCACAATAAAGCCTTTCAGTCTAAAGCTGAACTCCAGGATAAGCAAATATTGTCTAAATACATCATATTTGTACTTGGATCTTGGTGTGCTTTATATACTCCAGCTGTGTGCAGAAACTTTGCTACTGAACAGAAGCTTCCTGTATTACAGACCAGTCACTGCTGCACTCTCTCCTTGTGCTGGGAGACTGGTCTTGCGCCCCTCCTGTAGTTTTTTTTGCAGGTAGCCTGTAGTGGGTGGTGCCTGCTGGGTTCCTCCCACAGCTCTGTTCTCTGCACAGGTTGTGTGCACTACAGTGATGTGGTCACCACTACTCGAACAAGGTAATATCTGGATTTGCAAAGGCATTTGGTGCACACAATGTGTTTTTAATGCATTCTACTGAGGAATATATTTGAATGAAACTTTGTGCCCAGAGTTCAGCTTTAAAAAGCGCGGTGGACATGGTCAGCCCTTGACTTTTTATATGTATTGGGTACAGTGGCGTCACAAGGGGGGAGACACCATTGGAGGGGTGACGCCAAAATGAATGACATTTATATTGGTGTCGCCCCCTCTGAAAAGTCAGCACTCTGTTCTGGACCGAGAGCCTGACAGTTGCAGGGGAGAGGAGGGGACCCGGTGACATAACCTATCTCGCCGGGTGAACTTTCCCTCCTCTCTCTGCCGGCGTCCATCACCAAGATGGCCGCGAATACGCGATGATGTCATGGCAGGGTGTCACCCGGTATCCACTCTGGGTGACACCCGGCCTCAGGACGCCCGATTGGGTACTACGCCAGAGTAAGCTCTCCCTGCCATAACTTCCAACTCTGGTCCTGCCCACTTCAGGGTTTTGTTTTTCTCTACACCTTTTTTCAGACCCTTCTTTTTGCATTCTCCATAATATAAAATAGGAACCCTATAGCGAGAGTGGGAACTTTCCAGTATCTAATATATATTAGAAATGTCAGATTTGGGTGGACTGATCTGTAATCCGCTCAGGTTAAAGACAACAAAAGTGCACTGGCATTATGGCTTCTGCTGCATAAGCATACAAACCTTACAGTGAAGGGTGAATAAGGATCCTGTAGACTTCACTGGCCAGCTGCTATATCCACAGCTCTGACATTTCCCATTGGTACACTGTATGCACTGAAGTATGAGCATCCAGGATACTGCTGGGCTTTTATTTATATTTAATACAAAAGTGTTTTGTTTTTTTTAATATAAAGAAGTCCTTATGTACTTACACAAGTCTCTGAGAGAATAGTTTCACCTGGAAATATGTCCGACAACGGGGCAAGCAAGGTCCAAGGGTAAAGGGCACACCTGCTGCTGGCAGAATAGATCGGTGGAGGGATTTTTAACCATCCATGCTATTCGCATAGATCGGGTAATCGACTTTTTTCTTGTTCAGCCCACGGGGCCAAACAAAAAAAACCTCATACTCTACAGCCAACCTTGCTGCGTCTGAGCGTGTCCATGGGGGTTCTATAACATGTGCGGGCAGAACTCTAGTGTTTACATTTGATAGCAGGACACTTTTCATGTTTTATACCAGTGACTAGCCATCATGCACACAATCATTGGCATCAAGAAGTATAACTGCTCCATGCCAATGATTGTGTGCATGATGGCTAGTCATGCCCATCCTGCCTGTACTTATGATTGTTTCTTAATAACATGGAACAATAGTAACAAGCGTGGGCTTGTTCAGACTGCAATGATGAATGTTTCCTTTCTACTGCTTTCAGGTGGTGGGGGTCCTCTCCGCACACCTTACAGCAGTCCTAGCCAAATAAGAACGGTGGTGCTCGCAATGACTATCACGGATGGCGCCGTGCAAAATACGAAGTAAAAGAAACAGATCCCCAGCACTCGTTTAAAATAAATATGTCCTTTTTTTAATGGACAATTGTGTCACTACAATCAACAGAGCCCTATTGTAGTCCAGCTCTGTTGATTGTAGTGACACAATTGTCCATTAAAAAAGGACATATTTATTCTAAACAAGTGCTGGGGATCTGTTTCTTTTACTTCCCTTTCTACTGCTCTCATTTTAAATGTCCGGTGGTTTGATAGAAGTTTTGGGAAAAAAATGGATCCTTCAGCCGGACAAGGCTAACGTTCTCCAAAGCTTAGAGGTCCACATGTTGAACAGAAACATGTGATTAATAGGCTTTAGTAACACACTTGTACCATCTAGTGGTAAGAACATTCATTAGCTCACAGGATGTGGGATACTAAATGACACCGAGCCAAAAAGCTAGAAAAAGACCACAGGATGTATAAGTATTAAGACTTGCAGAACATATTTCTAATGTAACCAGATAAATCAGTTACAAAGATGCAGAAAAGAAAACCAGGAGTACATGTGACTTATCTCTTCTACATTGATGGTGTGTTATATTAAATGCATGCTTATTTTTGTTTCTTTACCACACAACTGTTTTTCTGTTCTGGTGAACCGTGTGTGTGTGTGTGTGTGTGTGTGTGTGTGTGTGTGTGTGGTTGACTGCATGCTTCCGTTAATGCATCTGGAAACAGACCACACAAAGCCCATCTTGTTCTCCTACAAGTGCAGCAAATACCGGCTTAGAGTGACATTAAAGTCAAAATTCCCCCCCACTGCTGCTTTAAGGACTTGCCTTAAAGGAGAATTATGAGGCGAGTGAAAATCACTCAGCCTCATAATCTGAGCCGACCTGTGACAATGAAACTGTCACAGGTCGGCTCAGTAGATTGGGAAGTGAGCGAACACCTACCGTCGCTCGCTCACTTCTCGATCCTGTCACGGCACAGAGCCGTGACTGTCACTCACGGCTCCCTGCAGGGATTCCCCCGTCCGATCCTCCAGCACTGACTGGTGGAACGGACGGGGGAGGGTACAGCTTGCTCTGCCTCTAGATAGGCAGAGCCAGCTGTCACTCACGCAGCTGGGTGGATCCAGACAGAATTGTCGGGATCCGTTCCGGCTGCAGCGTCTCAGTATACCGCAAGCTGTAGCTCGTGGTATACTGAGCTTCGGGAAGACGCTAGTGTCTTCCCGTTACCCTTAGGAGAACTATGGGGAAAAGCACTGACCCCATAGTTCTCCTTTAAATGATGCCTCGTAATCCGATCATCATCTTTCCTGTAGTTTTCAGAAGTCCCTCCAGCGCTGGTGCCGGTCTCTGATCCAGTGCAGACTCCTGTCTCTTTCTGTCCCACGGAGTTTGTGAGGTTGCACACTGCTGCATTGACTTACCCTGTCTCTCTTCTCCCGGCCAAAGATCAGTACTGGGCATGTGCCCTCCCTATGATCCTTTGCGGCCGCCTGAGAACTTTCAGATCTTTGGACGGGAGTGAGGGCGGAGACAGAGGTAAGTTTAAACTTGCTTTGTAACTTTTTCTTTAATAAATGTTTTTGCATATATCTATTGCTTGCTAGCAGTAGGCGCATGCAAAAACACGCGAGGGTTTAATGACCCTTTAAACTGGGGACCACCAAACACATCCAACTAACAATTAGTGCTGCTCAGGGGGGTCTGGGAAAGTGAAGTATTTCATTTAGGACAGGAAGTTACACTTTAATGATGTATAGGGACCCTTATTTCCTGAATAATAGGACTGCATGCTCAGGAGTGACAATTGTTTTTCTTCTGTATCTGTAGATACCCTTGTGAGTTCTTGATCATTTATAGATAAACTTGCCATTTAATGCATCCATTTAGATTTCTATGTTATCACACATTATCACTGAGCCCCCTCCCAGAGTTAGAATTTTCCTGCATGTTGGTGGACATGCAGTTCAGTACAGTGCGCCTCCCCACGTTTTGTATCACATTCCTCCAACAATTTAGTCGTGCTAGTAGTCTTGAGTAGTAGCTCCTCTGCCTCCCCCTAACGCAGCACTGTCAGTTCTCGCGCCAAGCAGCCATTCAAAATATGGTTCCGAGCGCCAAGTGTGAGCTTGAGGTGGTGTGGGCTGGAGCTATGGCCATGAGGGAGCTCCCTCCACACATGCATTGCTTACAGCTCCCTTGCGTGTCCTGTAGAGGTGCCTGGACCAGAGTGACGTCACATTCTGGCTCCCAGCACCTCTACATGGCGCGCAAGGGAGTTGTGCAAGCAATGCATGTGTGGATGAAGCTCCATCACAGCACAGCAGCCCACACTGGACCCCAGGCTACACCGGATCCACTCCAGTTCTCGTAAGGTAGGGAGACTGGGTTGATCTTAAAAAAAAAAGTCATTTTTTCTGGAGTGTGTATATGTGTGAGATTGTGAGGGTGGTTGTGTGTGTCTGTCAGTGTTTTTGAGGTCCCGTTCACACTAGTACAGTGCGGTAATCGAACAGTCCTGTGCAATTAACGCACTGTACCACACAATCACACCTACTACGCGTTCTGGTGCGGGAGGTGTGTTACGTTGCCATTCATTTGAATGGCACCCCAAACGCACCTCCCGTCCACAGTTCAATTTGCCTGCACTGGAACGTGCAGTACCGCAATGCCGTGTGTTCCATTGCAGTGGGACTTGGGTCGCGACTTAATGACCAAGGACAAATGTGGGTCCTGAGGTTACACAGGTTGAGAACCGCTGCTGTAGTGTCACTGCAGGTAAAAGTTGGTTTCATGTGAATTTCAGGCCTATAATGTAAACAGTACACGTGGTGACACTGATGTGAAAAGGGCATTAGATATCCTCTTATTGGTGTCAACTTACATATGATTTCTGGTTCCTTTAGATTGCATTACTTTGCATATCCTGATTGCTCCTCTTCATCTTCTCCTCAGTGGGAAATGGAAGACTGGGCAGCATTATACCATCACATACTATTCCCAGTTACCTATTTAAAGGTCAAGCACACCTTTTGCTCATATGCATTACCAACTGATGGTATTAGTACTTTTACATTGTTTGTAAAATCAGAATCTCCTTTTGAAGCAAAATATAACTTTCATAGGGTCCTTATAACAGGTCTGGTGCCCATATGTATTGGGTAATCGGACATTTTGTTTTTAATTATCTCTGATGGTTGCACTGCTGTCAGATGGCAAAGATCAACATACAGGGTACAGGTACTCTTAAAACACACATGCAGGCACTACACACACTTACACATAAAGGTTGTACTCGATGAACCTGTGTCTTTATATAACTATGTATGTAAGATAACCATGAATGTATACTGTAAGCCTATGGGCTGCCATGTATGTACTGTATGTGTAGAAACACAGGAAGCTGCTTTTTCAATGCATATTGATGAGTTCTTATTGATGTTTAGGAGCTCCATTACAAGAGCCGTTATTGGCATGACAGCTGCTTCCGCTGCTACAAGTGTTACCATCCTCTGGCCAATGAGCAATTTGTTTTCAAAGATAATAAAATCCAGTGCCCTAAATGCACCGATAGAGAGGGAGCCCTGCGCTGCAGTGGATGCCACAAGCAAATCCAGCCAGGTACAGTGCTTTCTCTTCTTATATCATCCTTACGAGACACACACACACACACACCACACACACACACACACACACACACACACACACACACACACACCATGGTTTCTGCTGTAGCAACATTGTTAATATACACAATGGATCTACTCATGTTTGGCATAAGCCAGGGTTTCAGTCTCTGTTGTCCATTACGCCTGTGGGCAAAGCTCAGTGGACCCTTTTCAATCTGATCAAGCGTTGATAACGGCACAAGTCCTCATGCACATGACTGCAAGACATCCACTGATCATATATGCATGTTATCTTCTGGTGTAAATGATCAGTAAAATGCTTGTTTGGCTGTGACATGCCTCCCGCTCTGTTTTCAATGTGATTTTCTTGTTTGGACAAATTTCTGTACTCGGATGCAGATTTAGAATTTTACTTTTGTTACCGATCTGAGCGCAGTGCATGCCCACATTGAAAGCAATTCACCTGCATTCTGATCTGTAAACAAAAAACTTTGAGGGGAATTTATCAAAACCTGGAGCAGTTGTGCACAGCAACCAATCAGCTTCTCTTTCATTTTCAAATCTCAACTGAGCAAACTGAAGAGAGAAGCTGATTGATTGATTGGCATGCACAGCTGCCCCAGTTTTGATAAATTCCCCCCCAGAGAGTATTAAAACCGGGCTGATTTTCCCTTTCAGCATTCTATCCAAAATAATATATTTTAGCTAAGAAGTTCTACTTTAACCCTTAAACCAGATTATTGCAAGTGGTGATACTTGAATACTGTACTGGGCCCAGACAAGGACACCCCCTCCCATTTGTCACAGACATGGTTCTCTAGAAGGCTGGTGGACAAAACATTTCACCTGCCCAAAAAAAGTGTAAAACTATTTGCTATTCCTTTCATAGGTGGCCGCAATGTTGAGTACAAGGGTAGTGCTTGGCATGAGGAATGCTTCACATGCAGCAACTGCAAGCAGTCCATTGGAACCGGCAGCTTCTTCCAAAAGGGAGCCGATGTCTTCTGTGCTACCTGTCATGAACAAAAATTTGCAAAACAATGTGTGAAGTGCAAGAATGTGAGTACTCACCGCAACCAGGCACAAGGCTTTTGTATCACTGTAGTACCGTTCTACTGCTTTGGACTTTATAGGCAAATACGTTAAACCAGACTTTTGCTTTTCACAGGCAATGCAGAGCAGCAGGTTCACTTTAATGCCGTCCCCTGCAGTAGCACATACATTTCCTTGGCTCTCCTGCACTTACATACTTTGTCTTGGTTCTGCCATTCTCTTCATCTCCCAGTGAAGAAAATCGGTGGAAATTCTGGCTCTGGAGGGACATGTGACAGCACTGATGTCTGGTATTATGCTATCATATCAGTTTGGGATGAGAGTTCTCAGCCTTTATAAGCACTGACTGGAGTTACTCCAACTACAAATGTTGCTCAGCTAGCAGTAAACGTACACAAAAGCTGTTGGAATCAACTTACATCCCGCAAAATAAACATAATACAGTATAAAGACTGATATTACTGACTTTGTAATTCATATACTTTGTTCCAAGTCCATGAGAAAGTGTTGAAAGCAGCCAAACAGGAATTCACCATTTATTGTTTCTGCAGGTTTCCTTTAAAAACAGGCATTGTTCCTCAGTTACAGATTCTCCCCAGATGTAATCGAACCCACAAAGCAGCAGTTCAACACATTCCTCCTGAACTTTGCTCCAATCAACAGGGCTGTTAAGTTCCATGCCACCGACAGTAGGCTCACGGCAGAACACAACTGTTGCCAGCTCAGTATGCCTTACGTCGGTGGCTTTCTCCCTTCTGCTATAAGCTCATGGTCGCTTTAGCAACCATGAACTTATATCACAACGGTTCCCCCCAACGGTCCCCTTTAAGATAATAGCTGTCATCTGTCACCTTCTCCTCGCATCCCCGCTGCCTGCATGGGCTAAGGCAGCGGGGATCTGAGGAGAAATGGCCGGCGGCAGAGGGAGCTGATCATCAGGATGGCCAAGTGGCATAAATGCAGCAGTCGGAGGAGAGGGGAGCTGCTGTCCTCCTGTCAGTTTCAGGATGACTGCGGCTGTGTGCGTGGCCGAGCTGAGGAACGGTACATATCAGTGATATTTACCGATCCTCTGTGCAGAGCAAACACTGGAGTGATCACTCCAATGTTAGTACTGTGTGTCCCCAGGAAGTACTTTACATTGCTTCCTGTTCATTCACGAGTTTCGCAATGGGGAGAAGCACTCTGTACAGAGGCTTCTCCCCATTTAGAAACTGGTTGATAGTAAATATTTTGTGAATTAATTCTGAATGAATGGGAAGCCTCTGTACGGAGTACTTTCCATTCATTTAGAATGGAGGCTGCAGAAAGAGATTGAGCACTCTGTGTCCTCAATTTCTTTTTCAAAAAGGAAATGTCAGAGGTCTGTTTAGACCCCTGATATTTCCCCGAAGCCCCCAACAGTAAAATAATTAATAAAGATAAATAAAACACATCCCCCCCCACCCCACATTGTGCACCATACTGTGGTGTACGCCATGCACTGCATTAGAACGCATAACACTGATTGATTTTTTTTTCTTTTCAAAATAACATTAATTTAACTGTGGCAGTGCATGGCAAAGCGCTGTGACGCATTGCCATGCTGCGATTTAAATGTACGCCTGTATCTTTTTATGACAACACCAGCACAGTGCACAAACGATTAACATAAGTCGTCTATTTAGTTTCGGTTACTTAATTTGTTTTTACCATTTCGCAAAAAGGCGCAATTTAAAATTTACAAATATTTGTTCTTTATGAACAATAGTTTTATCTTTCAGATTGTCAAAGTGTTTTTTTTTCTTTCCTGTGCAAGGATGCTGTTTCTAGTGTGCTTTTATCAAATTGTTAAATCAATATTACACCAATAAAAATACACAAACATTTGCGCAATTATCGCATGCAAACATGGTGCGGCCAGCTGAGGTGTAAAGCATTTTGGAGGGCTTGGCAGCAAAAGGGTAAAAGGTTTTCAGTTTCAATTATTACACCCAGTCAAAAGGGATGTGTATAAGAAACTTTGGTTTTGTGACAATGCGCTAACATGTTTTACAGCCAATCGCTTCTGGAGGGATAACCTATCAGGACCAGCCTTGGCATGGTGATTGCTTTGTGTGTGAAACCTGCCATAAGAAGTTAGCTGGCCAGCGCTTCACTGCTGTTGAAGATTGTTACTATTGTGTGGACTGCTACAAGGCCTTTGTAGCCAAGAAGTGTGCAGGATGTAACAACCCAATCACAGGTATACATCTTTTTATTCATAGGAATAAGAAAGCTAAACACATGGGGAAAATAACCACTTGACTATGTAAATGTTTTAAATACAGTGGCCATAGGAGCATTCTGTTTACATTGGTATTATCGATCCAGCAACTCCCTGCGGCCAAAGATCCCTATGATCAAAGAGATCTGTTGCAGCACAGCTGCATGGAGGTGTAGATCAGGTTTCCACTGATAGATAGATATCTATCTACCACTTAACACTGTGATATATATATATATATATATCCCCTGCAGAGAGATGAAAAAGAATAAATTAAAAGATAGCGTATATAATTAGGAATGCACTAACACCAGTTTTCCGGTATCGAGTACCGATATTTATTTTTAGGTACTCTCCAATACCGGTGCCCCGATTTTATCAGAAAGTCGGCCGGCGGATCATGACTGGTTGCCCGGCTTCCGGATTGCCTGGGAAGCTGGTGTTCTATAGAAAGAACAGTCTTCACTTGCCGTGGCAGCCTGGCCAATCAGGAAGCCGGGGTGCTGCCCGGCTTACTGATCGGCTAGGAAGTCAGGCTGCCTAGCAACAAGTGAAGCCAGCTTCCCAGCCAATAAGGAAGCCGGGACACACAACCCACTGCTCGGCTTCCGAATTGGAAAGGAAGCAGACTCCATGCTCCTTCAGCACTGCCGGTCAGAGGGTGAGCTCCCTCTTGATCAGAAGTTCTGGTATCGGAGTACTCCGCCTCGGCACGGATACCGATACTAGTTTTGGTGCATCCCTATGTATATTATATAATCCCTCCCTAGGTTGCAACAATGACTGGTGATCTGGATAAGATTTGCATTCACTGCACAAGCATCAAATGCTCATGTAATTGAATGCAATGTCGGTGACTGCATAAACTCTCTGTTGTGCTAATATGTGCCCTTGTCAAGCCAATAGCGATATACTGTATATGCAAACCATTTTGTGTCCATGGGCATGTGTAGCATTCAGTGTTAAGTGGTATAAAGATCTAACGTAAACCGCATATGGTCATTTTGGGCTCTTCTATTTCGCTATGATGCAGAAATGTGATCTCATTTTAATCAGCAGACTTTACAAATTGGTGCATTACAAAATATCAGCAAAGGGGGCTCTGGGGAAAAATTACAGGAAACTGGTAGTAAATTTTATTGGAAATAGTAAAAAAAAAACAAAACTAAAAACCCATCTGCCCTGAATATATGAAGTATAATAAGTTAGGGTAGACTACACAACCAAGCCATTGTAGAAACAAAAACCACTTTGATTTATGGAGGAAAAAATCCCAGGGGGGGGCTCAAGTGATTATGAATGAGTTTTCTTTCATGGTATATGATTACAGGCTTTTTTTTTTATATAGCATTAGATTTGTCTTGAGGGGGAAAAAAACAACAACTTAGTATTCTATTTTAGTTTGATATAATTGTATAGCAGAGCTTCTACAGCTACAGTCTGGTCCTCCTCATTTCTTGTGGCAATTGTGTCCTAGAACGGTTATATTTGAGTTGCACAGAAAAAAGTTTTATTTGTTCAATTCCTTGCTTGCGCGGTCTCATAAGACGTCAGAATCACTAAGATTTGTGTACAGGCCCGGGCTGGGGACAATGCTGACATAACATATCAAATGACCAGCAGTGCAGGGAGTTTCCAGGAGCCAAGCTTTTTCTTTACTTTGGTTTTATCTGAATGCCAAGGGGGAAATCAGCAGCTTAAAGTGGGTGGAGCGAAGAGCTTTACATCAGAACAGAACACAAGCCATCTTAAACATTTCAATGATTTTATAAACCAGAAGTGTATATAGTAAAGTAGGTCGGCTGTAACTATATCACATCAATTTATAAAAATGTGCTCTGGATTTTGGTTTCTGTTTTGGGGACTGAATAAGTAAGTGTGTGTTTTGCTATTTTCAGTTCAACTAATTCTACAATATTAGAAAATGGCCTTATTAGTGTCGAGATCTACCCAGCTGCATGACAGCTCACTCTGCCTATCTAGAGGCAGAGCCAGCTGTACACGCCCCATCCATTCCTCCAGTCAGTGGTGGTGGATCGGAGGGGCGGAATCCCTGCAGGGAGCCATGAGTGACAGTCAGGGCTCTCTGCAGGTACAGGATAGAGAAGTGAGCGAGCGACGGTATGTGTTCGCTCACTTCCTGAGCCGTGTGACAGTTTCATTGTCACACGTCAGCTCGAACTATGAGGATGAGTGATTTTCACTCGCCTCATAGTTCTCCTTTAAAGGCACAGGGACACACCAGATGCCCAGCACATCACCATGGCAGCTAAAACCCTCAGTGTGCCTCCCCACTCCAAATAAAACAAATATAGTAACCACACAAATTAATTTGTAACTAGCTTTCAAAGACATGATCTGTGTGATGAACAAAATTATGTATGTCCAGTTTTGGGTGCTTTGGTAACTTAGTCTGGGCACTTTAATGCCATGCACCTCCATGTTCCCAAAAACAGAGTTGGTATAACACCCTTTCTACTGGCAGTGTCCCAGTGTGGGTAAAGTTCCATCTTATTAATGAATTTTTTTTTTTCTCTCTCTACAGGGTTTGGAAAGGGATCCAATATTGTGAATTATGAAGGCCATTCTTGGCATGAGTACTGTTTCACCTGTAAGAAGTGCTCTCTGAACCTGGCTAACAAGCGTTTTGTACGCCAGAACGAGCAGATTTACTGCACTGACTGCGCCAAGAAACTCTAAGGCAGCACACATCTACACAGTAAACAATCACAGTGGAATGATTACTGTTCAGCAGCTATGCTGAATGCATGCCAGACTGCAAAACTGCATTTAATTATGTATGAGCTCTATAGTGACTGATCAAAGCTAAAAATAAGTCAAGATATACTGAATCTTCCTGCATGTAGTATCTATTCAAACATGATTAAAAAAATAGAAATGTAGACCTGATTTTTGCATTCTGAATAATATATGCATGGCTTGACTGCATGGAAGAAATAAGATTTTTATAGAATATATTAATGGTGTGCACTTCATTGTACTGCCCATGTAAGCAGCTAACTGCAAATGACTAATACGAGATGAACTTCTAATCCTGCAAATTTGTTGTGTTGGGTGCTTGCACAGTAAATACTGATTAATGTGGGTTACTACTAGGGATGCACCGAAACTTCAGCCGAAAATGGCACTGCTGAGAGTACCCTGCCAGACAGAAATGTGGCGGAAAATTCAGTGGATCCCTAGCTTCTCTCCTCCTCGCTAGCCACCGTTCTGTGTGCCTTCTGATGCAGTGGCTGGTGCCCAGCAGGGAGGAGAGAAGCTTTCAAGAGGCTGAGCGGCTGGGACAGCAGTCTGGATGCTGAACAGTGACAGCTGTCATCTTTACAGGAGGCCACTCTCCTCCCACACCGCCTCCTGTGTCAGGATGGAGAGTGGCAAGTGGATGACAGTGCTGTTATCTGTCACTAGAAGAGGCGCTCTCCTCCTGTGACAGCCGATTCAGGATGGAGAGCGGAGCACGCTCAGTGATCAGCTGATTGTTGAATGTTTGTAAATAACGGGACAAAGTAAACATACTATGTCTTAGGTTATGAATGAATAGGAAGTGCGCTACATCCATTCATGATTGTGGACATAGTAACTCATACTATTTCCACAGTTCAGGAGCACTCAGCATAGAGACTTCCTGTTCATTCATACAGGGCTGCAGAAAACAGGGAGTAGTTGGTGTCCTCAATCTCTTTTTCAAAAGGAAAAATATCCGGGATCTGTTTAGACCCAGAAGTAAAACAAAAATACATTTTTTTTTTAAAAGGTTGGGCAAAAAAAAGTCTTTCGGTTTCGGCCTGACAATTTTTTTTTATATTCGGTTTCAAAATTCCATTTCGATGCATCCGTAGTTATCACATTATAGCTTAGAGCATTTTATTTCATAAGACTGTATGTCAGCATTCCACAAAGACTGCGGCATCTACAGCACTGCTTTAGCAAGCAAAGGCTGAATATTTTTTCTATTGGGACAACTGATATTTAACCAGCATGTAGCAGCTATGAAATAAGTTTTTTTTTTTTTTACAAAGCTCATATAAAACTTTACTTACCTGCCTTGTACTATCACAGCTTAAGAAAAAGTACATTTATGCTTTCACTATGATTAATACATACATATATGTGCATAACAAGCGATGCCAGATAATTGCATAAGTTCAGCCTTATACCTTTGTCTCTGCAATTAATGGATACATACACAGAATAATAAACCTAATAGTATATAAAATGCTTGCTTGCAGTTCTATATATATATTTAAAAAGCAGGTGCATGGTAGATCTTAAAGTAGCGCAGCCACAGTATATGGGGTGCCATTTAAAAAAAAAAATGTTTGTTGCTTAGATCAGGAAAGTCCGATAAATGTCAGAATTTCTTATCTGCATACTTGTCCTGAGTAAATGGCTTCGTTTCTGAAGCCTAAGAGCTTGTTCACACCATGTTCTTTGAGCAGGGCACATAGAAAACAATTGTTCACACCATACACGTGCAGAAAAAAACAGCTCCGCAGACATGGCGTGATCAAGCCCTAAGGGTTAGCGTGGCAGGCAGTGCAGCAATGGCACCCTACGCTTCTCATTTTAGCACTAGATGGTGATGTGCTCAAGTTTTATTAAAGAACAGATGTCAAGGCTTTGGCACAGATCTCATGTTGGCTTACGTCACGGCAACATACCTTACATTTTTTTTAACTAGCTTGGAAGAAAATACAAACTACTGAATGTCTGATATTCATGCAAAAATAACCAAATGCCTAATTCACACAGGAAAAGTATCAGCTATATTTGAATTATAATTACCAACCAGAAAATGTAAAAACCAGACATTAGATGGATTATTGAGAAAATGTTGTAACAGAATAAAATCTGGAATAAAAGAAAAAGTGTCAGGTTTGGCTGTTTCTAGGAAATACTGGAAGGCTATTCAATAAAGAGGCTCAGTGAGTCGTCATCGGAATACATAACATTTCTTGTCCATCATTATTTGTAAAGGATGGGCTTATAATTCAGACATAATCGTACCTTGAATCCATCAAATGAGCCAAGACAGGAACTGCAACACTCTCCTACTACCGCCAATAAATACTGCAAATTGCATGCATACGGTCCTGAATGTCTAGCAAATCCTTAACAAGACAAAATGACTGCATATATAATTGGACAAAATAGCCATCAGTGGTAACTGTGATCCTCACATATGGAGCTATTACAGCAAATGTGCTTCACATTAGTCGCACAGAAACCACAGCCTACTGCAGTCAATCAGCTATACATAGCCAAATATTTGAAATGATACAGCCTATTGAAGTACCTCCGGGAGATAACAGAACTGCAGAGGATACCTTCCTTCAATTCTTGGTGAAACAACTGAAAAGGGATTGATAAAGATGACAACACTGAACATGCACGTTTATAACCATTTCTATACTGACAGGTTCCTAACAGTACATGTACGTGAGAGAAATACCGCCATTGCCATTGTTGACCACATCCTGACAACTCTGCAGACTCGTCAGGTGTAATACTTCCTAGGTACACATGGAGGTAGTGTGAAGTCCTTAGCTGCATAGTTGTTCCAGGTCAGTGACCTAAAAGTTTTAGGTGAGAGGATCAGAAATCAGATCAAGCAAACCACAAGCCTTTTTTTTAAATGGAGAGACAGCAATGGCCATGTTCCTGCTTCTTTCACGAGACGTTTCTATGCACGTCCCTGACAGGTATGAGACCTTCCAAAAACAAACTTTTAAACAAAACATATTTGCTGGAGCGGAACACAAAGGAAGCAGTCTTACAATAGTTAAACAATATGTTTATTAGGACATGAACTTATTTTTCATTTGTAAAGTTTATTTAACAGTGCACATATATTTACATAGTAGCTGTAGCTAGGAAATAAACAGGTAACAGTTGCACACAAAATAGAAGCATTTTATGGGTTAGATTGTCTCTGCCAGAATTACAGTGTTCATACAAAAGTACATGTTATTCTGGATTACCTAAGGCACTGCTCTGTCTGAACCATTCTACAAAGCGGAGTCTGATGACGGGTTTCATCTATAAAGAGGAACTTCAAGCTTATACCATGCCAGACATTTCAACCACTAGAAACCATTTATATGTATTACAGTTTCTGTCAGAGCAAGGAATTGCACAAAACGCTGCTGTAAATATAAAAAACATGTTCCAAGTGTACTCCTTTTTGAATGTTTTTAAAATGCTTTTGATCTGTAACGGCTGCCCACACGTAGCTGGACCCGAACAATGTGCAAAAAGCAAAAGTGTGCAGAAACCAATCACAGATCAGCTTCTTTTTAGTCAAAACTTCCTACAAAACAAATACCCCACTTCACTGCAGCCTTTGATAGTTTTATTTTGTAACTAAGCACCTCTGCGTTTAGAACCAAAGTATATTCTGATATGATACAAGTGACACTAGTGATATGACTAGAACCTGAGGGACAGGATTAGCTTCCAAAGCTGCCTAAGGGTCTGTGCGGAGGGCATCAGTTTCAGATGCTTTTGAGATTATTCAGAATTCATTGACAGGCGCATATGACGTGCAGTTCACCTCCTTCTGACCTGCTTCAAGCAGGAATTTCATTACTATTGGCCTGTATGGGAATGCAAAACCCCTCTGACATGAACAGCCCATCCACACAGACCCTAAAGCAGGTGTGATGCCCCCTTCTCACTCCCCTCCACCTCCTATGGTCACAGGCTGCTGAAACACAAGATTTGGAATCCTCTTAGTAAATGGTATAAAGTAATTGCAGTAACTCACATTGGTAGTGAATTAGGGGACAGCAATGAAGAATACTTCCTAAAAAAGCCTCACCTTACACCAATGGAAGAAAAGTCTCCATGAGCTGAAACTCCTTCCATTTACTTATGCAAGGAAAAACATGGCAGCAGCAGTGATGGAACATTCAGCGGGGCGGGAGATAGGGCTGCAACAACTAATCGATGAGAATAGTCGGCAACTATTCTCATCATCGATTAGTTGTTTGGGGAAGGAGAGAGAGATCATTTTCTTTTTAATACAACCAATCAATTAGTTGAAAAATAATCAGGCAACTAATCGATTATAAAAATAATCGTTAGATGCAGCCCTAGCGGGAGAGAATCTCAAGTTTGTCACCCTAAAACCCAAATTCCTCCTCTCTGGGTGGTTGGAGTCTTGCATGTAAGTGCCTTATATATCAATAAATAAATCCTCATTAAGAAACTATTCTATAATGATTAAGGGTTATGTACATACACCAGAGACTTGCTACAATAAACATTGGAAACAATGCACTTAATAGGAACCCTGAAATCTAATTTATCCTGCCAAGCTATGCATGCAATATCTCGGCATTCAAGTTACTATAAACTTCTAAACATAGAATAAGTGGGTTCCTCAGCTCCTGTGTGACTAGAACATTGGACTGCCACTTTCTAAAGGCACCAGATATGCAAAGTTGTTGCCTAAATATACAGGCTGCATCTATAAACCAACTAATGGTTTATCTGCAATCTCATCTGAACCATCAAATGGAAACTTTTTGCTGCATTTAGCCATTTGTGTGGGACGATGAAATAAAATTGCTTAATGCATTCCGACCAATAGGAGGCCTTTTCACTACAAGAACTGCCTTTGCTGCAATCAGATTGTCCCTTTTGTGTTTCTAGAGCAGAAAAGAGAGAAGCTGACTGAAAACTAAGCCAATACAAACAGGACTTTTCTGAAATGTTATGAGACGCCAACACTCACTAAACAGGAGAAATCATCATCTTGCCTATCTGAAATCACCAAATTCTAATAGGAGGCCTGCTTTAAGTCAGCATGTTGTCTGACGTGTACATGCCTACTGCACACAGAGCCCTGGGTACAGGGTGTACAGAGCATAACAAAATTACTGTAAAAACTAGTCTGAGATCCAACAGAAACAACAAAAAAGGTCAAGTAGTTGTCTAATACTGCTGTTTATGTACACAATAAAATAATACTTACATATTCAACTTAAATACATAGATATGAAAAAAAAATTGAAATGTTTAAAAAAAAAATCCTGACAAGAGCAAGCAGTCATGGGACACTGAAAGCAGAACTATTACACATACACACGACGTGCAGACACTCTGGGATGATAGCGGGCAGCCTTTAACGGCTATTGCCCTTTTCTTGAATCCTGACCAATAAAAGGAACATGTCCGCTGTGTGTGGGTAATGGGACATTATTTGCTTAGTATACGGTTTAGTCTTTGTTATATGTGAAACCATTGCAATTAAAAATCAAAAGGGTAATGATGTCATTACTAGCTCCAAAAATGTATGTTACCTTTCTGGTTAAACATCAATGTTGTCAAGTGTGTAAGTGCTTGAAGAGATCAACTATGGACAGTAATCGGCTTGTTAGGACTTCCCAACAGAGTAAACAATGTGAGGGATAACTAGGATGCTCTATGGTTAGATGTAACAGAATAAAGAGTAAACTTCGGAGACCCTGTGTAACTGCTCAACAAAACAGAACGATGAATGACACGGCCAAAATATTCTCCCTGAAGAAATGTCATAACGGTGTCACTTCAGTTCCTTCCACTGCTATAAGATTCCGCAGTCAAGCAACATTTTGACGTAGCAGCTTTTAACGACAAGGCTTCAGCGCTTTATTAAATACTGGAGAGCGAAGTGCAATCAGACGTCCATGGCTGACAGTGTTATATCTCTGGGAAGAGAGAAGACTGTATTAAATCAGCAAAATCATAGAAACACTCCCAGCGTGGGCTCCCTGCGCTTGTCATGCTGTAAACAGCCGGCATTCTGTGACCATAATCCTTCATTCAGAAGAATATGGCTTAGAATTCACTATAAATGAGCATACCCCACCTTCAAAGAAACCTGCTGTTCTGCTGCTAGTCACCTGGTTGTCATACTGATCCTCTGGCTTCAATGCCTTGAATCGGTGACACAAAAAACAGCATGCAGATCGAGATTTCAGACTCCATTTCCTGCTTACTTGTTTTGGATTTGTGACCAAAAGTATTTACGCCAAAGATCAGTTGAACTGGCAGGCAACGAGCAATAAAAGCTTGGGCATTTCTCGACAGGTTTTCTTAAATTCACCCCATGTGTCAGCATACCCGGAAAGGCCAGGACGCATCAGTTTATGGACAATTACCCCAAAACATTTTGCATGCTAATATATTTTATGCATTGAAAGTATGAAAGTATATGTCATTATTTTGTATTATACAACTGTATAGTTTTGTTTATATTTAGTCACATTAACACATCAAACTGTCCAGCAAACACGATGGAGAAGTACTTGAGGACTGGAAATAAAGACTTTCATAGCATGCATACCTGCCGCAGTCTCAATAGCCAAGGACAGAGAATTCATGGGTCCCTCTTCAAAAGCCAACTTTGGGGGAACTGTAGCAGCTTCTATGAGGTCCTGATTGCAGCCATCAGTAGTGTTGGACTCAGACAAGCTGCTACTCTTGGAATGAATTTCCAGATCAATTATTTCCTCAAACGTCCATGAGCTGGGCTTCCCATATATATTGGTTATATGTTCATCTCTTATGGCATCCTCACGGAGATCTAGGCTCAGATTATCAGTGTCATTTGCCACCTGACTAGAGAAAGAAAATGGAATATGTGTATTAGAAGTGTAAAGAAAACAGGCCAATGCTATGCTGAGGGCAAATATCAAGGCAGGGATTCATAAGAGTTGCCCAGATCTAATACTGCAGCCCTGTACATAAAACAATTGTTCTACAACTTCAATTACACACTTTGAGGAAAACGTTTGTAAAGCCCAAAACTGAAAAAGGGTTTAGCCTGCATGGATTTTTAAAGCACTTGTCATACAACATATGTAGGCTGTAATTGGAAAATTCTGCATTTGAAAATGCCAGTCGCCATTCCATTCCAGTTTGTAGCAATTTCAAAAGAAGGTTAGCAATGGCAGCCGACATATTTCTCTCACTCACAGATTTCCTTTATATATTATCATTATTTGTAGTCAGCTCATTCACACACTTGCATGGACAAGGCAGTTTAGTGCTGATCTTGTATCTTACAGCATCACATGTACAAGATGTTTTTATTTCTTCTTCATAGCCTAAGGCAGTGCAATGTGAATGGTCCACATCCTTAAGTTCGGTGCACTCCAAGGGAATAAACAGCTCTAGTCAGGTTTAACTTGATACCATGTCGAGATATTCTTATGCACATTATATGTATTCACAGGAGAGAAACATGTCATTAACTAGCCAGGTACAATGAGGCCACCAGTCCACCCAAATGAGTTGCCATACCTCCCTCTCCTAGTGTGTATTATGGTTTTATAGCAATCCCTGTGTGTTGCTGCATTGTCAAATATGGAGAGTAGGAAGACTACAGAAACAGAAAAGCCCACTGAGAAATGTACGGTGCCTAGGAGCAAGCTCAACCTGACTGAAGCCTCTACCCTCTTACGTTTGCACTATCATAAAGGCTCTTTTGGTTGGGATAGTAGTGCCCTAATCCCATGCAGTAAAAGGACACCTACCTGTCCTGCATGACAATATCTGCTTTCATTCAGGCCTGGAATATAGTTCATCTGTTGTGCTCGGCCGCTAAGCACAGGTATTATTGTTTAATCCTATCACCCCTGGTTGTGAAAATATCCCTAATACAACATGTGTCAGATGCCTCCTCACCCCAGGCATGATCTACTCTACTTAATACACAAAGCACTAATGCAGTAGTTGAACACAATAACTGCACATGAAAAGGCCTTCTATTTTAAAGAAAATAGTGGGCATAACATGCTGAAAACATTGACCAGACATAAAATGAACCAGGCCTAAAAAGTGTCTAAAGTATCAATACTGCAGACACCTACTGACCATTGAGGTTCTGGCATTTGACAGCTGAATGACACGTGCAGAGCTTAGTGGTGACTTAAACAGAAGTTGAAGGCTTGCGCAAAAAGTGGGCCTGAAATTCTAAGGGGTTCTACAGAACACAGGAAACTATTCAAGGGACTACCAAGTTCTTGTAGGCACCACAAGATTGTAGCAGTACTGTCACCTTACCTGAGGCCATGACATGTTCAATTTAATAAGCAATAATTAAAAAAGGTACCATGTCTAGCTTCCACTTACATAAAACCTTCTGTGGGTGTTGCATCTGAAAAGTGTCCATTAACTTTCTGATCAATGCCTGGCTTATCCCCGTTCATAAATAATTCATTCCTCTCCTCCACTGCTGCATCCTGAGACAAAATATCTGGGGAGGATGAAGTTGGTGTTACTACTTCTTCCTCCAGACCATCTGCATCATCACATGAATCCATGCCATTATCGCTCTCTGAAACACACAGCAAGGATAATGATCACACTGTCTATGACACACACACATACATATACACACACACACATATATATATATTGCACACATGTATATATATTACACACATGGGCGAAGCAATGCCTACCATGCATGTTTCTATCCAGGCTGAAATTTTCTTCATCCTCCTCTGACCTTTCTTCATTCTTCAGAACACAAAACAATCATGTTAAGAACATTAACAAGATAAAGTACTGCTCTTGCCCCTAACAACTTGTCAGACAGCTAGAACTGCTCTAGGGTAGGTAAGAAAATGGAAGGCAGCATTTGCTGCAGACATCAGCTTCAGGTCGCCTTATTTTTAGAACATGTACACGAGCCTTAAAGCACAGCACTAGCCGAAAGTTTTTTAAATTTTGGACAGAGTATGAAAAGGAATCTAATCAGTCAATACTCCTATTTTACAGATTTACCATTTATTCTCCTATGACAGAAGTGGGGGAAAGCCTGAAGGACAGAGTGAACCAAAATCTTTAGCACAGTAGACAAAAGTTTATAATTTCATGTCCAGATGACGGCCATTTCCCCCCTAAATTCTTCCTGGTCACTATAGGACAGAAAGTGACGTGAATATCTATAGACAGTAGTTGAAGCCTGACATATTTTAGCTTTCCCAACTCTATCCTAAACTAGAACAAATGCTTTGAATGGAGCTGGCTTTTAATAAAGTTCTATGAATTACCAGAGGGCATCAGAAATCAATTGTTAACTGGCAGCTTCATGTGGAAGATTGTTTTTGACACGTGGCTAAAAGAGGAAGGAGATAGTTTGGTGGTAGATATCCACACATACTTATATGGGAAGATGGGACTCGAAGTGTTGTTTACATATATTCCATTTCCTACTGCAAACAGTTACAGTAAAATGGTCAACACAATTCCCTGAGACAGTTTAAATAGTAAAAATAAACATGACTACCTTGGCATCTGCCAGGTCTGTCTTTCGGGTTCTCTTCATTATCTCTTCAATTCTCTACAATAAAAGGACATCAGTTCACATTTAGTAACATTAAATAGTATTCCTGCAAATGCTGCTTACAAATTGACCACAAGTCATAGCGAAGTAGAACTGAAATACAAACAAAAAAAGCCATAAACCAATAAGTCCTTCCTGCAATGTATGTGTTGGCAATGGTGGAGTGATGGTGAGGACAGGCACACACATTCAGCATGGCTACCATTGACACCCAATGATCTTCAGGCAGGTTGGTCACAGACAGCAAATTATATGTTAGATCATCATCATCTCTGTATTTCCAGCCAACCCAACTACAGAAAGAGCTACACATGTGTTATTAGGTTCTAGAACAAGCAGCTGTAATTCATGGTTGATAAATGCAGAAAAAAACCAATTTGTACAATCCAGCACTACATCTACGCATTTTTAGAAAAGACTTTCAAGTGAATTCCTAGCTGAACAGGGAACAACCCCCTTTTGCTTTAGGCACATTTACCCATACCCATGTAAAAATAACATTAACAATACAATTCATAATAATACATCAAGAAAAGAAAACAAACCTATTCCTGATAATGGGCCAGTAAAATAGAAAAATATGGCAGAAAAGTCCAACAAATACAATTTGGTTGAATCATTTATAAATGGGTAGTATTGCCTCAGTCCATATAGAACAGATCAGATAGCCCTATAGTGCCCAGAGTGGATATGAAACACAGCAATGACAACATGTGGAACTAAAGAGATTGCTAGATGTCCTTCCCCAGTGATCTGCGGGCTTAAGCAATGTCCAAAGCAGTTTAAATACAGTGCAGATAGCTCATCACAGTTCGCTTCAAGAGATTCTTTTACCTTTTTCCTTTCAAGTCTTTCCTGCATATTTTGCCGCATGATTTTTTCTCTTTCTTGCCTTTGTTTTTCCGCATCCTCAAAAGCTCTGGCTTCAGCCTCTTCTTTCTTTAACCCAAAAGAAAAATATTGTCACAATGTACACAATACAACCAAGTATTAATCGTCTCAACATAGTCCTGTCCAAAAGGTAAAATAAGGCCGCAGAGCAACATATATGGTACGATTATGGGCGAGTTTGTAATGTACTTGAAGATGTACAGCATCTATGTTCCCAGCAACCATGTTAAACAGAAAAATATGGTAAAATATTGTTTTCTAAATAAGCTTATCAATATTCCTCTGTATACTTATAAGTAAAAAGTGTCTAAATACAATTTTTCTTAATTCTGGATGGAGTAGGAAAGATCAGCACCTCTCAGTTTTTTTCTGATGTCTTCTCCTGATGGATAGAATCATGCCACCAGGACAGGAAGTGAGGGGAGCCCCACATTTAATCCAAATCTTGCCAACTCAACCTCCGAAACATTTCCCAAATCCGTCCCTTTTTAACAAATGACACCGCAAAGCTTCTAATTCACTCCCTTGTAATATCGCGCCTCGACTACTGTAATTCCCTCCTTGTTGGCCTACCACTAAGCAGGCTATCCCCCCTTCAGTCTACCATAAACCCTGCTGCCAGACCCATCCACCTTACCAACCAACCAGCCACCCCCCTCTGCCAATCGCTCCACTGGCACCCACTTGCACAACGTATAAAATTCAAAATACTGATAACCTACAAAGCCATCTACAACTCTGCCCCAACCTACATCACCCACCTCATCTCAAAATTTCATCCAAACCGCCCCTTCGCTCCTCCCAAGACCTGCTCTCCAGCTCTCGTCTTCAATGTGACATAAATGGCCAAAAAGACCTTGACAAGGGTTTTAACTAGAGGTGCACCAAAATGGAAATTTTAGAAACAAAACCGAAAATGTTTTTTAATTTTTCAAATATTTTACACAGCTTCCTGGTAGTCCCCCAACCTGATTGATGGCAGATCTAAGAGTGTGGCTGCACAAAGCAGGTTTATTTTGCCCCACAGCAATGATCTCAGACATGCCACTGATAGGAGCTGTGCATCCGCATCTATGACACGTGGACACATAGTGTAAGTGGTTTGCACAGGTATTCAAGATGTGCACAAATTTCAATAATGTGAGTTTTAAAAGGCATATTAGAACTAAAACACAGAGCCAGAAAATGTATTTATTTTTGGTAAATCCTTAATACGTATTGCACCAAAACAATTCCAAAAAACAGCACATATGATGCTTATGACAGTTTGTAGAGCAGTAAGCTTTAGCCATAAAGCATGCGGCACATCAACCAGGATTCCATAACCTTTACAAACCCCTAACCAGCCTGCCAGTTATGTACCAGGTAAACAGCAGGTGTGATAATAATGGCCAACTATCTATACCAATGTTACAGCTCTACAAAAGATGTCACATACCTGCTGCTGAAGCTCTTCTAATCTGTCCTGCTCTTCCAGCTCTCTTTGGAGTTTTTCTACTTCAGCTTTTCTTTCTTCTTCCTCCCTCTCCAGTTTTTGTTTTTCTTCTAGTAATTTTGCCTCCTCTTTCTGTCTCTGTCTATCCTCTTCGGCTTTGCGAGCCATTTCCTCTTGCATTATCCTATAAAACAATAGCCATTTGAAATAGCCCAGTAATCAAGCAATGACAGGAAAAGGCTGAGGAAAAAAAAGAAAGAAAGAAGAAGTGTACACTAACTTTTCTTCCTGTTGTCTCTGTATCCGTTCTTTCTCCTCCCGTTCTCGTTGCTCTCGAGCAAAACGCCGATTTTCAGCCAGGATTTTTGCAGCCTCCTCAGCTGTAGTACTCCCTGATACAGACTTATTACTGGATTCTAGCAGAAATTACAGAATAGTTCTCCAGGTGTAAATAGATCATCAGCATATGTATATGATGTAACTACAAATTGTATCATTATACTTAAAAAGGTTAAAAACAGAAGCAAAAAAAATTAAAGTGTATCTAAACCCCCCAAAAATTAACATATTGCATCTTATCAATTCTTAGATGTGGTGGCTGCATTAGTTTTCATTTTGAGGCTTTTTTTTAACCTAGTGATCCAGCCAGTAAGTCCGTTATTTTTCAGCTTTCATTTAACAGACCAAGCTGTCCAGCAAAAGTGGCAGATAATGGGCTGAGCTAAAACATTTAACCTTGACAGGGGTGCTTACAATGGACAGCTTTTATCCATTCCTGTAAAGCCTTCATCCCAAAAGGAAAAAATGATGTTGCTGTAACTACTTAAAGGGTTAGCTGGAGTTTGCATTTTAATTTGCTAGTCAATTCCATCTAAATTTGCTAGTGCATCGAAGACTACTCTCTCTTCACAGGGTGCTGCTGTCCAAGGGGGGCTCCAAGACAGGAAATGTGTTACGAAATATGACATTTTTGAGTTTAGATACGCTTTAAATTACCCTAAGTACAACTGCGGCAAGTTATAAAAAAAAAAGAGTTATTCGTTCTGCCAGTTTATTGCTGGCTGTGACCGCAATGGGGTGATTTTTTTCCATCACTTCCTGTGAGGTGAGAGAAAATGCCTCATTACATTACACAGTTGTCACTGGAAAAAGAGTCTCCTTTGGAAGATCACCCCTCTGTTCCATGTAAGGTGGGGACTCACACCTCTATGTGCGTATTCAACACACTGAAATTGTCACCAATAGAGACACCCAAGAGTGGACATGTACTTTTTCAGCAAACCCATGTTGCCCAGATGTGAACTAGCACTTTAAACCAATTGCTAACCTGCGTGTCTGACTATATACATTAAAAAGGTGGGAATGGGCCCTAAAATGTTGGATTTCTCATCACTTTCTGCCCCGTTAACAATGGTCACCCAGACAAATAGAGGGATAAATCTTTCCAGCAGGGATACAGACAACAACAAACTGACAATTCTTGAGGTGCCCATACACCTTACAATTATCTGCAGATTTTCTGTGGTCAGATGGAAAAAGTGTAACAGATTGGCCCAGGTGGAGATTACTCCATCCACACAGTGAAGTGTAGATGGAGGAATCTGTTGCACCTTTTCCATCTGACCACAGAAAATCTGCAGATAATTGTAAGGTGTATGGCCAGCTTTACTCTCAACTACGTTATCCAACTAAAAAACTGTCCTGGCTATTGTAGACTAAACTATTTGGCCAAACGCATAACATATATGATCAATTTGGTAACATTTCTTAACCCTTTCGCTGCCAAGGACGTACGTCGTACGGAGCTACAAAAGTGCTTCCAGCTGGCCAGCTCAGTACGTCATACGGACCTGGCATTTACAGTTCTACTATAAGCTGATGGTCGCTTTAGCGACCATCAGCTTATAGTAGAACTGTTCAGCAGACTGTCCCCTTTAAATTAAATAGCAACTTATCATGGTACCAAGACCAACAGAATGTGGAATAATTTGCTAAATAATCCTATGAACATAGCAAACTGATGATTGAAAAAGAGTAAACACAGTTGATTGATAATAAATGGCTTCAGCCAAAAACTACCCATGAGTGACAGAAAGGTTTTCGTGTTATTATTCATATTCTCTGAAAAATGGCCAGGAAATCATAAATTCTGCCAGGGTATGTAAACTTATGCGCACAACTGTATTTCTCAGCATTGAGGACACCATTGATCCTGACCAAATGTCCAAGCCCATTGGCAGAAATGTAACCCCAGAGTTGCAAGGAAACTCCACCATGCTTCACTGTTGCTGCAGACACGCATTGTACCACTCTCCAGCTCTTAGGCGAACAAACTGCCTCCTGCTACAGCCAAATATTTAAAATTTGGACATCAGTCCAGAGCACAGTTCCTTCAAAAACTGTGTGTAAGTGTAACTAGAAGAATTGATGCTGTTTTGAAGGCAAAGGGTGGTCCACCCCAAATATTGATTTGTTTCTGATTTCTCTTCTGCTCATTTACTTTCCATTTTAATTGATAAAAATAAATTAACACTTATTTCTGAAAGCATTCTTACTTCACAGCATTTTTTCACAATTGCCTAAAGCTTTTGCACACTAGTGTGTGTGTATATATACAGTATCTCACAGAAGTGAGTACACCACTCACATTTTTGTAAATATTGTATTATATCATTTCATGTGACAACACAGAAGAAATTACACTTTGCTACAATGTAAAGTAGTGAGTGTACATCAGTGTACATTTGCTGTCCCCTCAAAGTAACTCAACACAGCCATGAATGTCTAAACCGCTGGCAACAAACGTGAGTACACCCCTAAGTGAAAATTTCCAAATTGGGCCCAAACTGTCAATATTTTGTGTGGCCACCATTATTTTCCAGCACTGCCTTAACCCTCTTGGGCATGGAGTTCACCAGAGCTTCAGAGGTTGCCACTGGAGTCCTCTTCCACTCCTCCATGACGACATCACGGAGCTGGTGGATGTTAGAGACCTTGCGCTCCTCCACCTTCCGTTTGAGGATGCCCCACAGATGCTCAATAGGGTTTAGGTCTGGAGACATGCTTGGCCGGTCCATCACCTTTACCCTCAGCTTCTTTAACAAGGCAGTGGTTGTCTTGGAGGTGTTTGAGGTCGTTATCATGTTGGAATACTGCCCTGCGGCCCAGTCTCCGAAGGGAGGGGGGATCATGCTCTGCTTCAGTATGTCACAGTACATGTTGGAATTCATGGTTCCCTCAATGAACCGTAGCTCCCCAGTACCGGCAGCACTCATGCAACCCCAGACCATGGCACTCCAACCACCATACTTGCTTGACTGTAGGCAAGACACACTCGTCTTTGCACTCCTCACCTGGTTGCCGCCACACACGCTTGACAACATCTGAACCAAATAAGTTTATCTTGGTCTCATCAGACCACAGGACAGGGTTCCAGTAATCCATGTCCTTAGTCTGCTTGTCTTCAGCAAACTGTTTGCAGGCTTTCTTGTGCAACATTCCTTTTTTTACCACTAATAAATTATTATATCAACTGCGTTATGTCTTACAAAGCATGATTCACAAACCGCTTATAGCCAGAAAGATACCACATATCAGCAGACACACAGAACACATTCAGAAATTACCATCTTTGGTCTTTGTAGTGGTTGCCTCCTTCTCTGAGGCCTGTACATTTTTTGGCTCTGAGCTGCTTCCTTCTGCAGATTTCTCCTTTGGTTTGGCTTCTGAATCAGCAAGCTTTTTGGTAGAATTTAAGACAGCTGGTGTTAGAGAGGGACGCTGGATGGGAACTGGCTTGTGGGTCACTGTGGGAGAAGGAGGTCTCTGCTTCAATAAACTTGGAGATGGAGGACGGTTCTTTTGTGTATGCGAGCTACTGGTCCTTCTGAAATGTCAAGAAAGAAATGGGAACAAATAATGGAATGTTGAATATACCAAATTAACCACATACATTCAACAGAATACAATAATGTAGCCATAAGGGCTCTTCTAAGAATAAATGCACAATAAACCACTTACTTTTCAAGTGTTGGTGAGGGAGCTCGCTTTCCAGTACTAGCTGGAGAAGGAGATCGTCTATTCAGTGTCACATTCGGAGGAGATGGAGGGCGCTTCCCAGCCGAAGGAGTTGATGATTTTTCATGCTCTGGTTTCTGATGAACATATTAGCAGCTTGTATATAATACTGTACAAATCAGGTGCAATTCTGTCACGTTACTTGTGATAATAGGTAACATATGCTAAAACACTCTTCTCAAGGATTACAATATTGTCAACTGCTACATTTCATCTCTATTATTAAACAGCTCTGAGCTGTAACTACAGAATATACCCCACAGTTCCATGCTAGAAGTGACATATCAGAGGTGTAACTTTATGTGGTAACACAATTATGAAGGGTCACATAGGTTACGGGCCATTCTGACTGATTCTATGCAACTTTCATAATATAGAGGTTTAAGTGTAGAACATGTGTATACCTTCAAGAATGAATCAGTTGGTAACACGACAACCTTGCAAGGAAAGGGCCAGCGAGAATTTAGGATTGAACATAATAATAAATGTAAAGTTCCATATGTCATTAACAGAAATATATAGCAGGTATCAATATTCCAGGGGATCTGGCCGAGAAGATAGTGGGCAAAATATATTTCATAGATCTAATAGTACACAAATATGGTCAAGTCTGAAAGATGTAGAATGATCAAGCAGGGAAAGTGGATGGCATAAGTGATCGCACCATGCCTGCGGACACTTACAAATTCAGTCATTGCATGTCAGAAGTTTACAATTCTGGTCACTAGATAGACGAGCCATTGGGTTTATTTTTACCCTAGGACTGAAATGAGCAGATTTGACAGAAAATAGTGTAATGTATTGTGATTTCCAGACTGTGTACGGGCACCAAAAAAAAAAACCTGTGACCATTAAAACACACAAAACAAATTCAAACAGTGTAGCTGGCAGCCTGCATTGTGCATTCTCATTGGCTGCAGTGGCCCCAGGGCCCATAAAACTGGGGTGCAACCAGCTGTGGTGTGTGTGGCAGTGGCCCCTGCTTACCCCATACTTGTTTAATGAGACCATCCATGAGGCCAGGTTCACACTTGGGCGATCTGTGACCGTGCGGCATCGTGCACGAAAGCACGAGGATGGCCACGTGGTCACGGAATTACACACCACTGCTGATGGCGCTGGCGATGCCATTATTTTCTAATGGCACCCAGTCGTGCCAGGCAGATACATGTACCTTTTTTCACCGATTGCTACGAAGATGTAACCCCATTGAAATCAATTGGGCCACGCGGCAACCACTGTGTGCAATCGCACACTATCGCGCGGTACCAGGATTGCCCCAAGTCTTCACCAGCACTCAGTTATGGGCCAAGGTGGTTGGCATTTGGTTACAGAGTACTCTAGTTTCCTTACGCTCAGGAAAGCCCCACATTGAAAAGCACATGCAGAATGGCAACTATAAAATGTAAATTTATGTTTTTTTTGTTTGATATTGCCACAGATTTACTTTAATGAGTAAAACCACTCACCTGCCACCTCAGCAGCATGTCAAGATAACCTTTGTGCTGACCAATGGCACCACCCAACACTTAATGGAGTCTCCATATTTTTTGAGAAGCTGGCCGGAAACTGAACCCACCATTATCACCCCAAAATAAAGTAAACCGTTTCATCATGTCATTTGTCAGTTTGAAAACACAGTTGCCACCACTCAAAGAGTATGAAGCCTTATTGTTGAACTAAAAAGCTCCTTCTGTACCTGGCTAGATTCCGAGGAGCTGGCACCGGTGGTTGTACTTTGAGGGGACTTCAGTCTGTCAATGCTGCGGCTACGCATAGGACCTTTAGAGACGGAAGGTGGGGTATTGATGGTAGTGGCTGAAGCTGAACGAGGACAGAGGTGAGATTCTATAAAGTTAAGAATTTGACAGGACAAAACAGAGAGCCAAGTGCAGAGCATAACAGAGGAAAAAGGAGAGAAAGAGAGATTGTGTGTTAGAAACGGCAAAGGTGGCTAACCACAGAGGTGTGCAATGCAGCAGCTCATACAAAACACCATCACCACACGTTTAGTGTACACAAGCAACAGTACCAGGAAGAAAGACCCCTTTAGAAAATGAACACCAACATGGCTGGGTCTGTTTACTAAGCTCTTTTACAGTGAGGTCTGTCAAAGGATGTATGCTTATAAAACATAACATGCTGCACCTAACTGGATATCATGAATATCACACTTTCTCAGAAATGCATACTAAACCTGTTCGCAGATTTGTCTTCTTTTAAGATCTTAATGCACTCTTTGAAATTTTCAATATTAAACAGAAATAGCAGGCATCAGTCTTGGCTGAGTTGGGCTGATAGTGTCCATTTCAGGAATGACTCCTATATACCTCAGTCTAAATTCCCACTTCCCTCCTCACAATGTTATCTCATCTTTCCTATAAGCCACAAACTCTTATGTCCAGGCACATACATTTTTATTTCAATTTATTACTCGACAGCCACACAAAGCATATGAATCCACTTTGTGTGCACCAAATGCCTTTGCAAGCCCAGACATTACCTTGTAAATGCAGCAGTCACTGTACAGAGAGCAGAGCTGTGGGTGGAATCCAGTAAGTCCACCCAATACAGGCTGTCTGCAGAAAACTACAGGAGGGGGGCAGATACAAGACCAATAACCCTGTGCAAGGACAGAGCACAGCAATGAATGGTCTTTATTACGGGAAACTCCTGCACAGAGGCACTTCTTCTGGATTATTGCACAAAATAGGAAGAAATTAACACCACTCTTGTGTATTAGTTAATATATTTTTATCACAGCGTTCACATTTAGACTAACTCCAGCAAAAATGTTTCTTCTAGTTTTAGATAGCATGTTGGAGGAGTTAAAACCTGGGAACAGAAAGGGAGGGAATCCCTCCTTAACAGGGACAAGGACTGTAAGGAAAACCAGACGGTTTTGGCATTGTTCTACGAAAGGACACCTGTGCCGAGAGAAACCTTCATCTTCAGAAAATGGTCCTCTCCTGGCTGTCGAGATATTCTAATGTCTCCAGCTCTTTCTAAATTCACTGACCTAGAACAAACATGGTTATCAGGCATTCTCGATTTAGTAGGAGTTGATTTGCTGCATGCTTCTTTCAGGTCGGTTGAGCATGGTTTGAAGGCAAGAACTAAGGATTAAATCCTTGTAATTAGCATTTGTATTAAGGTGGTCAGCAATGGCTGTCTCCAGGTTTCTCTCAGCACAGAGCCTCTTCACTCCTCTATCTGATATCAGGCAGAGAAGTGAAACAAGTAGCTTTGGTAACAGAGTTGATAAAATATTAGGGACGCACAGTTATATTGTCCGCCGAAACATTTTTCGGCCGAGAGTGGCACTTTTGGCTAAATGCAGAAAGTGCAATTTTTCTGCCGATATACCGGCGCATCCCTGCTTTTTCTCCTCCCTGCTGGGCGCTGCTCTGTGTCCCAGCAGGGAGGAGGGAAACTGTCACTGGCGGCCGAGGAGACTGCTGTGAGCGGCCGGCGTCTCTCCTCCCCGCTCAGCCTCCTTTGACAGATCAGCAGAGTGGTGAGTGGGCGGAGACAGCCGACGCTGTCACAGGAGGTTGAGCAAACAGAGCTCAGCCTCCTGTGACAGCGCGTCAGGAAGGAGAGCGATACAAGCAGTGAGTTATCGCTGACTGTTTGGAAATAATTGAGGACAGAGTATGGTTACAATATCCTCAATTATGAATGAATGGGAAGTGATCTATATCACCTCATGTTCAATCATGATTGTGGATATAGTAAAATGAACAGGAACACTGAGAGGATTCCTGTTCATTTATAACAACAGGGACTGCAGAAAAAGAGATTGAGGGCTCTGTGTTCTCAATCTCATTTTCTATTTTAAAAACTTTTTTTTTTTTTAATTTTTAAAAAAAATCTCCATTTTCTAGGGAAATATCAGGAGTCCCCCAATATTACCCCAAAGCACATTAAAAAAAGTTAAATTTTTTTTTTTTATAAAAATAAAATATTAAAAAATGTAAACGTTTAAAATAAATATTTGAAAAAAAAATTTCAGTTATATATATACACACATACATACATACATACATACATACATACATACACACACACACACAACTGAGGTATATCCTGAAAAAGGACACAGGTAGCCCAGCACTCAGCCAAAGAACAGGCCAAATGCTTCTACAAAAACAAGAGGCAGCCATGTAAAGAACAATGGCAAAAAAACATTTTTCAGAACCTGCATTAAAACTGTTGCTGACAAATATATTTCAAATGTTGCAAAATCCCATTAAATTAAGAAATTGTAGCGATGGGGCTTATATATAAAACTGAAAGTATAAACTGGAACCATTTCAGCTTCTAACCAGCATTAAACATAAATACAGCTGGAACCAAACTGGCTGCTGTGGGGAAGTTTTCTTACCTCCAGTTTAAATACAAGACCCATTGTGAAAATCAGATCAGAAGAATTTACTTTTGGCTTATGAACATAACTACCTCCGTTAATCACTTTCCATATATTTCACTAACGTGTTGTAAACTATTAAACTTACTTCAGCATGTAAGCAAGCAAAATACTCAGATCGATGTAGAGGTTTTCAGATTAGTAAAGAGACCCAAAATGTTTGAATAAAGTGGAATGAAGGTGGAATAAAATTGGCATATTTAGATTTGGCATGATAAAAGCGATTTCCTGCTTATTTGAGGGAATGCACAAAATTCAACTAAAATGTGCATACTAGCTGAGATTGCTAAAAAAAATAATGGATCACTTTTTTAATGAAAAAAATTTCATCCAATTAAAAAAAAAAAGGTCCTAAAGTCCAACCAATGAAATACAGTGGTTACCATTAAGAAGTATGTATCTATGGCTGCAAGGCCACACCAGATTTCACCAGGAAGTTAAAACTGAAAGGGCTTACCCCACCAGGTGTGATACCATGCATTTTTCTGCATTATAATGGGAACCATGCAAGGTGATGGTGGGCCCTGCCACTGGTACTACTGCCAAACAGGATTTCCAGCTGTTAACTGAAGCTAATAAAATAATTAAAACTATTGGCTACTAAAGTTCACTGAGCAATAAGGTTTCAAAAAGGAGTTTTAAAACGCAATGCGGGGGGCATTCTCCATGATGCTGCATGCTACAGGATACAGATCTCAAAATGACTTAGTAATGTGGAGCACTCAGGTGGGTAGATGCGCGTGCAATAACCACGCTACTGGAGTTACCTGGCGAATCTTTTCCATCAGCTGATAATGTGGCAGCACTCTTACTCCTAGCTAGGGAAGACTGAGTGGGGGCGAAGAGGCGACTGATTAAACTACTATCCAGAGGACTGGTCTGGGGGCGAAGAGCTAAATAAACAAACCAAATGGGCGTCGTCATGAACATGTAAAATCCAATGAAAAAAAAACAAAAAAAAAAACACAGAAATAGGATCAAAAGGCTCAAGCACCAAGAGAAAACAGCATTAAAGTGGATAGAAAGCAAGAAAGAGAACATATTTACAGACAAGAGATTAACATTCTCTGAAACAGCCAGTGTTACTATGGAACAAGTCACATTTTCACATGAGCTTCCACAAGAGTAGGTATATAAAAATACACATTTATAATAATGTAGTTAGAAGAGTTAAAAATGCTTTATAAAAAAAAAAAAAAAAAAATTTAAACTATTTAATATTCTGGCAAAGACATGGCTGAAAGAAAAACATTTTAGAATGTTATCAGAGGAAGACTCGGGCAGATGCACAGAGACACTGCATATTAAAATCAAACACAGAGGTCAGAGTCCTGTGTAAGAAACTTAAAAGGTTAGTTCTGCAATGTAAATTTAGTAGCACAGCATCTGGAACACAGCAAGCTATTACATAAAGGATTTCAAGCATTAATGGTTATTTTTAGAACACACTGCACAACAATACATGTTACAAGTCTGTTTGCTGGCGGCTACAGACTGACAAATCTGCCAGCAGAGGACATATGTCCACCCTGTGGATGAATCTCACCTGGAGCTGCAATATTTGGTTTTGAAGCAACTGATCTAAAAGTGTATTTGCATGTTCTCAATCAAATTGGGGAACACCTATTTTATATTTGTTACATTTCTAATATACCTCATAGAACTTTTTTTTTTTTTAAACTGCTGCTTGCACAATATACACTGAGTGGCCAGATTATTATGACCACCTCATCAGTACTTCGTTGGGCCACGTGATGACTCCACTAGATGACTTCGTTGGGCCGCCCCGTGACTCCACGAGATGTTGAAAGGTGATGTGAGGAATCTGACACTGCACTGTTGCCCTTCTGTTGTCTTGTACCAGTCTTGCCACTCTCCGTTCTGCCCTAACATTGACTAGTCGCTGACTGCCACAATTCGCACGTTCAGACCCAGATTTTCGGCTGACAGTCCAGTCTTTAAACACTTTAAGAACAGCTGCTCTTGAACATTTAATGAATTCTGCTGTTTTGCTGATACTCGCTCCATGGCTTGAGCACCAACAATCATCCCACGTTCACAGGCTGTTAAAGCGCATTGTTTACCCATATCTTCAGGAAAAAAATCACTTCTACTGTTGTGGTAAACAACCTGCTTCCCTATTTGTAATGGTCTGGCCCTCTAGCAACTTCAGCACTAAATTATAGCTAATTAGTCTACAAACGTCAGGTGGTCATAATAATCTGGCCACTCAGTGTATGCTTTATTATAAAAGAAAACTTGTTCTCTGTACTGAGTTTTTCTCTGGAATGCAAGGGGGGCTGGGCAGGTTAAAAGTTGGCCACACTGTGCAAATTTGCACAGTGGGTGCCGCTGCCAGCATCCTTTCGGCCGGCATCCCTCGATCAGCTGATTGAAGGAGCTGGTTGGAAAATCTTTGTAGCAACAGAGCGGGCAGCCAATGACCTAGGAAGACATAACATAGTGGGTTTTCTTAACTTTGACTGCAAAAGTAAACTTTATTCTTTTAACACACAAGATTAGACAGTAATTATAGGGCTGTAAATGATTACCAGTGCATTCCAGCTAAAACAGCAGCCTGCAACTGGTGAAAGTTGGAGATATTAGTTAGAAAGATCTGAATGATAGCTTCCTGTTATTTTTATCACTCAAAGAATTGTTTACTGGCTGGGAACAGGTAGACCATCTTTTATGATCAGTAAACAAACAATTTCATGCAAATTTGCAGGTGCTACAAAATATTACTATGAATAAAACAAAATTATTGTTCAACTAAATTTAATTTAGATTCTGCAAATATATCAAATCATGAGGTCTGGAAAATGAAAACGTCTCTTAAAATTATGAGGGAGTATAGTCCTTTATAAATGATGCATTTCCACTTCTAATTTTAAAGAGAATGAACTGGATACCTGAGTATACGAGGAGCTGCTAGTGCACAATGTTTGCTCCGAGATAAACCCTACCTAACAGATTGTACACTTTGCTGAAGCTTGGGTGCTGGGATATGGTTAGCAGTTGTCAGTCTGAAGCCCTGCTAAGCACACATAAAGCAGATTAAACAGACACCTGAGTTTTCTTCCTGCTTCACACCCTCTACAAGTGAAGAAGATTTTTTATTATTCAATCTACTGAGCGAAGAGCTTCTCTTCTTGGCTGCTGCACCTAAATGTAAAATCAACAAAATACAGATTTTCACAAACATATTATAACACTACTAAGCTAATAAGCAGCTTTGTTTAAAGACGACCAGTTAAGCAGATGTATGCGTGTCCCTGTTCTGCCAATTAAATTACCAGCTCATAAGGCTTGGGTGTTGTTTAGCCTGTGCCTACCTCTGGGTTCTCTAGGCACCAGTCTCACAGAAGAGACTACACATAAACTCCCACACGAGCAGAGGAATGCACAAGCCCGGGGTCCCTAAAAGTGTTTTTTTGTTGGGATGTCTTTAAAAACAGGAAGATAAGCAGAATGGCACCAATGAATGGACTATGTTATTAAAAGACTGCTGGTCACTTCAACAACTGACCGTATTATGATTCACAAGCTGAAATTATTCATTATTTTGCTGGGGAAAAAATGGCAGATACCACAACTAAAGCTGAACTTTTAGGGTTTAGATAAAATCATTGAATCCAGTTATGCATTCATTATAAATCATAGCAATTATTTCTAAATGCAGCTGGTGTAAGTACACGCATTTTATTTGGCATCATTTTTTAAAAATAATGCCCTGTATAGCAGAATTTAGACTGGTAGAGGTAGGGGCAGTACGAGGAGCTAATCAGGTGTGCTGCATGCATATGTTCTAACAGGGAACACGCTACAAGAAACCATGTAGGAAGCTTGAATCAATTGCCCGGAAAAAGCATGCAACAAGTAAAGTCAGATCTCCTGTATGGACATTTTAGGAAGTGACAGAGGCGAAACACAGCTGGGTTTCTTAGCAAGTGTGGAAGGAGTTCAGTAATTGCAGGTATTTCTATGAGAAGTTTTTTTTAATGCTCTGGTTGAGCTTAGCAGACAATGTACCGGACAACAACCTGTATTTCAAGTCTCTAGATTCCCCACAGAAGCTTGAACCTCATGTATCCATAAGCTCACAATGAAGCTGCCAATGGCACAGGAGGATTCCCTAATCCTTCAATATTTGGAAACATACATATGAGAAGCATGGCACCACCAGTTATAATGCAATGACCATGAAAGATAATGCTGGAAAGTCTAGTGATGATTTTCTAACAAGTTTCAGAGAGATACAAGAAGCCAGTAAGTCATTAAACTTGCCAGCAAACCACAGAAAGCGGAAATTGTTTGGTTAGAACTGGCCTGAAAAACTAATAATGTTAGTGTATATAAACGATGTTCTGCACCTTTATTGTCCTGGTTGGAAACCCTAGGCGAGAGGGGCTGTGGACTGAGAGGAGTTCTGTTACTCAGTCTGCTTAATGACGAACTTCTCTGCTTGGTACCTGTGAAAAATGCAAAGTTAACAAGCCTGGAAAGAGGGGTAAAAAAAAAAAAAAGAATATCCGAGAGCGCCGCAGGACAGACAGATACCTTTGTGTAAATTAAAAAAAGAATCAAATACAATAAAAAGCAGAACCTCATTAAAAGTCTGACAAAGACCACAAACTACACAAGTTGAAAATGATTGATAGCCAAGAACATTCCATACATCAAGTCTGTCCTTTTCTCTGCTGGCCGATGAAAATGGAGCACATGGTGGAAATAAAAGTGTTAGCGTGATATTAACGTTAAAAGGTTTATAATCTTTTTTCAAATGCTGATTAAGTAACTTACAATGGATGCAGCTCCTTGATGCTTAAAAGTTTCAGCTTCTTGCAGAATCAGCTGGTCCCCCAAGCACTGGCCCTGATATCCTGTTTTAGGGTGGCTCCTTTCTCTTGCAGGGTCCTATGGAGCCACTCTTGTATATGCGTTTCTAAAAACACACAGGTACAGCAAGGCAAGACACTCTTGTCCCCCGTTTCCTTCCCCCTCCAAACTAATAGAGAGAAAGTTGCTGGAGACTGCTCAGAGGTTTGGAGCTGTTTGGAAACATGATGACTGTTTGGCCAAAAATGTAAAGCAATACTTTGCTGGGCAATGTATATTTGTTTGATCTGGATTCATTACTGAAAAAAGGTTGAGAGTTTAATACTACTTTTAGGAAAACCCCACACAGTTGGAAACTTGTTTAATTTGTAACTGGCTTGTCCAGGGACTGTTGGAATGATGCAATTTCAAAAGTGGACCTGTCATTGCCTGTGCACAGGGCCAAATGTGGCACGCCACCCCCTTTGTTACAGTAATAAAGTAAAAATACAAAAGTTCCACAATCGCCACAATCACACAAACCTACGACACATGTGCTCCTAAGAGCTTTATGACATTTACACTGAGTAGACACACACACTTCAAAATAATTTTAGCCTAGTAACAGTCCCAGAGAGGCACATAGTGGGATGTTTGGCAGTTAATATATATTAGGCATATTGAGGTGTCAGAACTTTGTTTTGGGGGTTAAAAATAGCCAACAGGAGAGTGCTCCATTATGATATACAGGATTAGCCTTTAATGCAGCACAATACAAGTTGAGTTTATACACATCAATACCATTCTAAAATAACTCACCATTTTCTGAAGAAGTCGGAAGAGTGGCAGATGAAGAGGACAATCGCTTATTCACAACGCTGTCTGCCTGCTTTAAATTAGATGCTGAAGTGGAGCGCTTGTTTGCTGAAGAGAAAAATGAAAAGCACAGATCAACAAAAACAGTGAAATGTTCTAAATTGTAGGCCTGGATCTGAACAAAGGTGGTGAATTCTAAGCATGGCTCATACACAGGCCAACAATTACAACTGAGCATAGAATGCAAAGATCAGGAAAGGATATAGCCAGGTAAGGGTCTCGTAGGTATGAAAATGAATATTTCCATGACGATTTTCTAACGTACTAGTAAATCTTCCCCTTTCCTAAAGCAGAGGTAACCAAAAATTGACAGCATACATGTAATATACACCTCAGCATTTTGGGAGAAAAGAAAAAACACACTGCATGCTTGAGTTATTGGTTCTTAAGAGGGACCTTCATAAGGTGTCAGGAAAGAAGCTCTGGCAGGATTTATTACACTGAACCTACAATGATAAAATAAAATAGGGGATCCCGTCAGACTTAGAGAACTCAGTTGTCAATATGGTCTAACAAAATGTATCACCGTGTATGGTTTAAAAGGTAAATACTTCTTCTAAGGCACTACTTAATATTCAAGCTTCAGAACGTAGAAATGATGTTGCATGTTTAGACCCATGCAACAAAACGGCTGAGAGGCATGTACGGTTATCCAGCTTCTTCTATTCTGCAACCAATGTTTTTAAAAAAGCTCAAACTGAGCAACACAGAAAATATTTGCTTTCAGTTTGAATCAGAGGCTATGTGGTAGCTGGGCCAGAGGGACTATGAGAGAAATGTGTAAGCAGAGGTAGGGCTGGCCACCTATATATTGCAATTGTGTTACTTCTAGCATTCCTACTAGTACTTATTGAGGCTGGCTTGCTCCTATATCCATTTCTCTACTTATTTACTTCATGGTTATAGTTGCAAACAGGCCCACAGACCGTTTCTAAAATAGCAGGAAAGAAAATTTCACTTTCCATATAATTATCCATGAATTTAAAGGGTGACACCTTTCTTGAAAAGGCTTAGTGGGTAACACCATGATCTATATACCTTTAAGTTTATATGGAAACCTTCAATTTGTGTGAGTTTTCACTTGGTATACTAGGTGCCAAAATCATACTGGTTGGTTAGAAGGCTACAGATAAATTTGCCCCAGTATTTATCTGAATGACGTAAGTAAGGACATTTGCAGCATTAGTTTGTTAAACAATATAGCTTCTCCTGTCAAAATGAAGACATACATGTATGCTTTTGCATGCAGTGATTTTGGAGCAATAGGGCAGACTGCCACATACAGCCCAGTCCCCAAAGATCAGAGGAGAAACTTCCAAAACACAGAGGTCCAATTGTTCATGTATAAATTAATTTACAGATAATGTTTAATGTCCAGTTATGTTGCATGTGATCATTAGTGATGGGAATATTAAATCATGCAGAGGAGAAAACATGTAAAGCATGCTAACGAGTGAAATTATTTCAATTGAAATAAAACACCAAATATTAAAAGTTGCAATATACTTATGACAACTATAACGGCAGATTAGAAGCAAACCTGAGCCTTGATTAGGTGTACCTGTTGCCCATATGTACGAGGAGCCATAGCTGCACCCTAGAGCAAAAACAGAACTCAGGAAAAGTGCTGCCACTAGTTCCAAGAAATGGGCTGAATATGGCCAGGCTCACATGGGACTTCCTGTACCCTTTTGCAGGTGACAGGTACACCAAAAAAAAGATAGCCAATATTAGAGGTTAGTTAATAAACAAGGAGGCAGCAAGCACATAAATGTATACCGCTGGGTCCACTCTTATCTTCTGGCTGTGCCTCTGCAGTGGAAGAATTTTTGTCTATATTATCTACAAAGTTGGGAGAACCACTTCCCGGGGCACCTATGTGAACATAATGTAGACAGGTGGACAAGAACAGTCACATCTCTGAATTAGATTTTCTTTAAAGCACATGGCTTGCAGCACTACCAAAAAAAAAAAATCATGTTTAGCCATTATATTCTACAATTTACAACATATATATCAAACTGAAAACATTTACACCTCGTTGGTAGGACATCAACAATATTAATGATGTCCACTTAAAGCCAGTGGGTAGTCAGTAGAGTGAAAGGGATGCTCAAAAAATTAGCTAGCTCCAGTTTGTTCATCTAAATGATTTAAGTTAACCTCTTGCCGTCCGCCCGTAGTAAAAAAACGGACGGACGGCACTGCAGCATCTGCGGGTTGCCGTCTCCAGACGGCAATTTTTTTCTGCTCGCGCGCGCCCCCTAGCGGGCACGCACGGGCAGAAAAGACCCGCTAAATGCACACACCCGTTACCGGGTGTTTCACATATAGGCGATCGGCGGGTCATAAAGTACCGCAGCGCTGAATACTGAAAAATGGCCTGGATGGGAAGGGGGTTTAACACCGCGGATGTCAACTGGTTAAGATTGAGCTATACTAATGACCGTCAGCCTGGGACCACTATTCATCATAAGATTCCCCTTTTGCTTGAATATTGTCATCTAAAACATGCCATTCTGGTACAAAAAGTTGGTGTCCAAAGTACTCAATATGGGAAATTTTAAAAATTGGCAAATGACATCATAATTTAACCATCCAAGACCCACTGCCAAAACAATGGGTAGGGGAGAGAGGCTGTGAGTGACTACAATTAAATGTTGAATGCTTGAGTCCTTAAAGAGGAACTTTCCCCATATCTTTGAAATGACAACAAAGTCACCTTTAGAAAGGTTTAGTAATGACACTCTACAAACACATACTTCTAGATAATTCGGCTCTTTTATTCTTTGCATACCTTGTTTTTCTAATCCTCCCCATTCTTCTCACAGTGGCCATTTTTTACTAAGTGCAGATTAATAGATCTCCCTTTACTTCCTGGAACTCTGGCACATGCGACTAAGACACGCACATCATCTCAGGGGAGGAAACTGCCTTTCCCTGAGATCTCATGAGATTACCGATGAGATTTCCCAGCAATGCTCTGCCCAAGAGAACCAGGAAGTGGAAAAAACAGTAACTAAGTAAAAGCAAAATATGTTTAATTAAGGAATGTAAGATAATTTCATATCGGCATGCAAAGCTGCATGGTGATGTCATTTTTAGTGAAAGGGGGTAAAGGTCTGTTTTAAGGGAGGGGAGCACAATCCTACATGCTGCTTAATGTTAAAGGTCATAGGTACAGTCATATTTTTACTTGATCTGGTAATTCTCTAAAACAGGATGTCTGCCTACAAACCTGTGAAAGCATCATCTAGTTTTATGTTTTGAGGCTTTGCAGCAAACAAAAATAGCACAGATTTTAGTAAATTTTTTTTTTACCTTAGATGTTCATTGGCAGCTAATAAGAGACTGGATTCTAGTCGGGGAGGATGGGCCGAACCCACTCTAAAGTTTTGCTCCATTTAAGACTATGAGTAACAGTGCAAGCATATTATGAATCTGGCTAATATCAAAGAAGAGAGACGTGTTCAGGGATGACATACTTCACATATTCTGGTGGACTGAGCCAACGTCGCACTAATGTAGAGCCGGCCGTCCTCCAGATCATTCATTTAATTATTTTAAATGAAAAGCTCCACTGATATCACGTGAAATAGACAAGGTTTTTTTTCTCTCTGTGCTTTTCGTTCTGTAGGTCATGGATTTATGCTGCTGGCTAAAAGTAGCAGGGCAAGACCTGCTGGCAACAGTAGGAAAGACCTGCTTGACTAAGAGTTAAAGGAGAACTATGGGGTCAGGGCTTTTCCTCATAGTTCTCCTAAGGGTCACGGGAGAACACAAACTAGAGTTCTCCCGTGACCCAAAGCTCAGTATAACACTAGCTGCAGCTCGCGGTATACTGAGACGCCGCAGCCGGGATGGAACCCGACAATACTGTCTGGATCCACCCAGCTGCGTGAGTGACAGCTGGCTCTGCCTATCTAGAGGCAGAGCCAGCTGTGCCCGCCCCTCCCCAGTCTGTTATGCCAGTCAGCGCTGGAGGATCGGCTCCCTGCAGAGAGCCGTGACAGTTACGGCTCTCTGCAGGGATAGATCGAGAAGTGAGCGAACGACGGTATGTGTTCGCTCACTTCCCAATCTACTGAGCCGACCTGTTACAGTTTCAATGTCACAGGTCGGCGCAGATTATGAGGCTGAGTGAAAATCACTCGCCTCATAATTCTCCTTTAAAGCCCATGCCCAGCTATTTATTTTTGAAGCAGATGTGGTGTATACATTTGTTCTTTTTCAGCCTTTTTCCCCCTTCTTTATTTTTACCTGGTCCTGTTAGTACACATTTCCTATCCTAGGGTGACAATGCTCTCTCGCTGTACTGAACTAAGGAGAAGTGTTGCAACTTCAGGACAGGATGTAAGTTGGGACTACAGAACACCCCCCTCTCCCGTAGTACACAGAGAGAAGTGAGCAACAGTAACACTTATCAAAACATTTATAACAAAACAATTTCAACAGTATATTTAACAGATCAAATAAACAGCACATTTTAAAGCTGGCCTTTCATAAACCTGGATAATTCAAACTAAATATATAATGAAAATGACATAAGTCAAGGCTACATTTACTGAAACGTCAAAATGGTCAGCGTGTGCAGAGATAAAGATAAGCTGCGTTAAATGGAAATCTCAACATTACCTCTAATGCTAAGCTTGGACCCAGCTCCTAAGCCTCTCTAATGGTCAGTGAGGCACCCACATACACACAAGCAAATTAGGGAGGTTCTGGAAGTGGGACTCGGTTTAATTGTTTATATCATAGTTTGAGATTTGCTTACAACTACAGAAACCTGTATCTTTGGATCTGTGTGGATTTCACTGAAGACCTCTGCTGATGTTTTTTTATGTTAATTATTTTTAATTGCTCTGGTTTGTCATGTTTACCTCAAAGCTGTTATGTAGCAAAGGTGATTTATCTGAATCCTCTTTAAAGTTAAAGTAAATACTGAAAAGCTTGTTAGATTATGGGCTGTGACACACAACTGTTGAACAGCAGCAAACAAAGGAAACTTCTTCAGAACAGAATTAATATGGTTTGAAGAAAAAAACAAACACTTTATGGGGGATGGGGGTTGAAAATGGCAGTCACAAAATCATATTTGTAGTATAGTGACAAGTGGACAAATTCAAAGTACATCTATTAATTGCTTTTCTACATGAATGTGGACACGTCAGGTCTGTCAAATGATGGCACTCCTGCAGTGATACTGTAACTGAAAGCAATATCTTGGAAACATTACGTAAGCAGTCCTAAAGTGAATATTTCATTAAGAATAACTGAAAAAGAATGAAAGAAATATTTCCAATTTCCGAAGAAGCCAAATGGTCTGGCAAGCCCTATCCCCAATGTAAGGCACACAAGCAGGAATCCACAATGAAGAATGCACAATGTAGAGTTGCTTGTCGGAAATAGCAAAAAGCACTCCCAGGTTCTGTCTCCTGGGGTGCACAAGAGGGGTTTATGAAATTAAACTAGGCATAAGTAGGTACCAAGCTGCCTGTAAAACTCTGAGTAAGAACATTAAAAAAAATAAATAATATATCGTAGGGGCACACACAAAACAGATCACTGATGGAAAACAAATATATAAAATAGGGCTGCGGAAATTAAGGATTAATCCCTCGATTAATCGTTAATTTATTTGGTCTTCCGTCGGAGATCCGGTGACGTCACGGACATCGACGTCACCGGACTCCTCCCCCCTTCCACAAGTGGCTCTGTCGGCTAACGAAGGGAAGGGGGGAGGAGTCCGGTGATGTCGATGTCCGTGACGTCACTGGACTCCTCCCCCCTTCCCTCCGTTACCTGATGGAGCTGCTTGGGCCGGTGAGTACACATCCTAACTCTCCCGGCCGCCCGGGAGGGGCACACTTTTTACCGGAAAGGTTTAATCTGCTCAATCGAGCAGATTAAACCTTTCCCTGGGATCGTTTGTTTTTTTTTTCTTTTCTGACATCGGGAGCCGCGGCCTGACCGTCAGTCAGAAAAGAAAAAAAAAAGGCATACGATTGCATAGCTAGATTACTATTGGCTATTGCACTTTGCAATAGCCAATAGAAAACTAGCTAATGCACCCGCCCACTGCTGCTGTCAATCAGCAGAGGGGGACCTGAATTTTTCTATCAGGTCCTCTTCTGGTGATTGAAAGCAGCAGGGGGCAGGTGCAATAGCTAGTTTGCTATAGGCTATTGCAAAGTGAAATAGCCAATAGGAATCTAGCTATGCATTCTTATGCCTTTTTTTTTTTTTTCTGACAACTGCAAAAAAAAAGTCTGCAGATAGCAAAGAAGCTATTGCTTCCTGTGCTATCTGCCATCATTTCAGGGGGGTGCTCTCTCCCAGCCCAGGGGGGGGAGGGACACCTCCCTGAAATTGCTTATTTCAGTTTGGGATCCCTGGCATTGGCCTATACACATACAGCACAGCAATGAAGTAATAAAATAAACTAGGATCACACTAATCCAGCACGTTATTATTCTGAGTTGCCCCACTCAAGCAGGGGCCATATTGAGTGGGGCACGTGAGATTAATAACGTGCTGGATTAGTGTGATCCTTGTTCATTTTATTACTTTATTGCTGTGCTGTATGTGTATAGGCCAATGTAGTTGGATGTGTATGTGCGCTATAATTAATTGATTAAAAAAAAATTTGATTAATCGAACAGGAAATTTTTAATCATTACCAGCCCTAATATAAAAAAATAAATAACCATACTTACTGGATTTATCTCCATCTCCTGACCCGCCCCATGACCACCGTTTCTGCCTCTGGTCTAACTGGCTACTGCGTTCAAGAGTACGTCGTAAGGTTGCCTCTCGGCGTTCCTAAAACAAGAAAGTTATCTGGTTGCAATATACCATGTAACTTCAACATCTAAAATCTACAACATTTTCTCTTCATTGTCACTGCACAAAACTAAAGCAGAACCTCCCTCATACACAAATAGTACTGAAGCAATATCATCTTAAGGTTCAAAATCCATACCAGACCATGTCTAATTCAAAGGTTTGGTATGTACTTTGAAAGGACCATGTGTTTATTTTTTGTTTACATTTTGGACTGGAGTGTCTTGAGATTTTGCATACTTTTTAAGGGTGCCATGACTGAAAAAAGGTTAAGAAGCTCAGAATATGCACCTAATCATCCTTGTCTAAGAAACATAAAACTTATACAAGTTATATTAGGTTCCGTTAGTTTATAACCCTCCTGAGAAGCTGCGGCCCAAAAGCTGAAGGTGACCCCCAGAGGCACTTACTGGGCGGGCCCCCTTTGCTTTCCCATCCTAGGCACTTACTCAGACCTGATCAGCACATGACCATGAAGAATAGAAGTAGAAACTTTCCTAGACTTCTCACTTGGCTCTGCATCATGTGACCCGTGACAAAGGGAATTCCTCCCTTCACTACATCCTGGGCCCTACACCAACCAACAGGTTGGATAACGTGATCTCTGTAGAACCATACACATCCTACAGTACACAGACTGCCAAAACCGCAGCAATGCAACACAGTACCTGCACTGCTAGGACCAGAACTATGTTTGAAGGTTGAATTGGTTTCTGCGAGTTAAATAGCCAAGTTAATTTCCTTCACACATTACTTTTTTGTGCTGTTCATTTCCTTTTCCGATGTAATCTGGATCTTTATTTTATTTAAAATGGCTGTGGTAAAGAGTGGCAGACTGCTCCGATAAGTTCACAACCAGCAAAAGATTGACAGGTTACTCACTAAACCAAGATTTGCCTGTGCTGAAATACACTAGATGGCAAAGGGAACCTCATTTAAAAAATGCTAGGGAAATCTTATGGGAGATGTTAGAATTATGAAATTGCAAATATATGCAGCAGCCTTTTCCTGTCCAGTACAGGGCCATACATCGAAAGGTCTATCCTCGAGAGGTTAGCACAGCTTTTACATAAATCTGTCATAGCAGAAATTCAGGGGATGCCATTGCTTACATGCTGAATGTTCGATGGCTGGCTGTATGCAGGTGGATAAGTCAGAAGTCCTTATCTCTGTTTTGAGTCAACTACTCAGGGTATTGATGAAAGAGGACTAGCATAAACGGCAAAGTGACTATTTAAAAGGAAGAAGTCAACAATTTAAACTACACTAAAAAAATATTACCTGACATTGACATACTTCAAAGCCAGAATAAAGCAAAATATTGCCGCTGGCCATTAACAAATGACACATTTCTTAACAAATGGTAAGGAAGCATGTAGAAGCGAGATACATTTCTGCTGTGTTCTTGTTTATGTTCCACAGATCAGAAAACTCTGCAACATACCCACATACAAGCAGATGTCTCTGGCAGCTGAACTATGCCCAAGAAATGCAATGAAATTTTTTCTTTTGAATGTCGTTTGAATATTGCAATTTTACGATCTAAAAATTAGTCTGGCCATAGCAAGTGAGGGGGACCACCTGATGCACCAATTCCAGTGACCAAATATTTCCAAATAAATATTGCTGCTAATTTCTGTGGAAATAGGCTGTGGTAAGTCAACACAAATTCTTCCTCCCCAGAGCCCACATTGAAAAAGCTGTTGACAGCTATTACCAAGTGCAACACCTCAGCAGACCAGGTTAAGGAACAAATTGGGACTGTGGGGAAAACAGTTTTTTTTTTTCTAAATCACCACGATACAGCGCCCTGGCTAACACAAAAAAAAGAAAACCGTTAGATTGACTTCATAGGAGTATATTTCAGCTACGATTTAGAACAGGGGTGGGCAACTTTGGCATCCCCAGCTGTTGTGAAACAAATCCCATCATGCCTCTGCCTCCAGGAGTCATGCTTACTGCAGTCAATCTTGCAATGTCTCATGGGGTTGTAGTTCTACCACAGCTGGAATGCTACGGTTGCCTACCCCTGATATAGAAAAACACAACAACCTTTTCTTCATTTAGCTTCTGTTTTCGCTTTTCTTCAGCTGCTGTCCTCTTCTGCTCATCCTTATTTTTCTGTTCTTCAAGCTTCTTCTGCTTTTCCTCCATTTGTTTCTCATATTGCAGTTTAGATTTCTTTTCTTTTTCAATTAATTCTTTTTCTTTGGCAGCTGTATTAAAAGGAAAAAACAAAAACACAATAAACGCTGCTAAGACAAAACTGGAAGGTTCTTGTATGCATTCAGCTTTACACCCTCAGTGAGCATATTCCTATCTGCCCCCTCTGCTCTCCTCCCCAACGTTGCACTCCCCCACTCTTTTGTAGAACATCGCTTGTTTTCCTGTCAGTAATACTGGAGGGTTCCTGTACACAAAATGCTTTACCTACTCGGGGACCAATCACCACTTCTAGTTCTGCTTTCAGAAGCTACAGTTGGGCACTCCAATTCCCCATCCTGTTTCTCACTACCTTTGTTGTTATTCTGTGTCCTCATTGGTGTCCATAGAGTTTGCGCGCACACACAATTTAGTGCATGCGACATTGCTTTTGCAGCATGTCGCAGGTGCTACTACACATGCATGGTGTGCAACTGCAATGCGCATTGGTGTGAACAATCCGTTACAGCAGAAAGTTCAAACTTGAATGCTTTTTGAACCTATTAAATAGGCCAGCAGAGGTTAAAGTATGTTTAAATACTTTAAAATTAAATGTGTTCTGCAAGCATAATCCAACCACCTTCACAACTCTATGATGGTTGCTCTTGGAAGCAAACAAGTTTATGTTTAAACCATAGGAAGGCAACTAGATATTCTTGAAGTCGTTCCTCTTGGACGGAAAGAATTCCGTTTTACCTGTAAAATCCATTACTTTGAGTAGATCACAGGACATATGACAAAGTTTATTCTGAAGCCAATGGGTAAATGGGCAAACACTGGCAAATCAAGGCTTTTAAAGGACATCCCTGCGTAATCCCCTCCCACTCCCAGCCTGCCTCAGTTTTGTAGCAAGCAGTACAAGACTGCAACAATGGCTAAAAGGTGCTTGAGAAAAAAACCTTTTCAGGGTAATCTCAGTTACCATACCACACTGGCTGCAAAAGTGAGTATACACGGAAGGTTTTAGCAGGATTGGGCATTTTTAGAGAACCCACTCTAGTGACCTTTGGCTAGGCCAACGCAGATGGCTCTAACTATAAACAATTCTGTACACAAGGACAGAATGGTGTCCTTGAGCTTAGGAGTGATGTCAAGAGACAGGTCCTCTTCCGTGGTCACAGAACTGGAAGTAGCCCTTAATTATCTCCTTCAGGGAGTGCAAAATAAGAGTAAGGTCAGAGGTAAACTGGGGGAAAGGTGAGGGGGTCCATTTACTTCCCCAGCAGTCTGGCCATTCTGTGACCAGGTCATCAGAGATCGACATATTACCAGCACATGAAAACGGGAAAATTGACCAGGAGCAATTCTTACATCCACATAGGCTGCCATATGACCAGTAGGTAATATCGTACTCATACTGCTGTAAGGCAGAAGGAGGTCATAGGCAGAAGGAGGTCATAGGCAGCTGTGCTCAGACACCTGAGGCATAAGCAATATTATGCCCAACGAGCAGGAGAGTGTGGAAGGGCCCTGTGTGGTGTAGTTTTGGCTTGGCATGGCCCTAGACCAGTGATGGCGAACCTTGGCACTCCAGCTGTTTTGGAACTACAAGTCCCATGAGGCATTGCAAGGCTCTGGCAGCCACATACATAACTCCCAGAGGCAGATGCATCTTGGGATTTGTAGTTTTGGCACAGCTGGAGTGCCAAGGTTCACCACCACTGCCCTAGACAGTATGCAGAGTGTGGTGCCCATGCCATAAGACGTGCGACAGAAGAAATTAAGTTGCGTTTCCATGAAGAAGCGCTTCCCGCACACAAGGCATCGCAGTTGACCAAGTTCCCACCAACCCTGAAGAGAGGAGGAGCAGGCTTAGTGTAGAATAAGGCCTGAGCAGGCTTAGTGTAGAATAAGGCCTGAACCAAGGGTAATTTACCAGTGGGGTGAACTAGAGAGCCCCTGCAGCAGACCTACAGTACAGAACTGAATAGGCATTAATGCAGGTAGAGCCCATACAGGCAGTCTTTGCCCTCCTGGCAGGCATAACCCCTAAGGGCTTTGTAGAGAAAGGGCTCCACTAAGATGGATTATGGCCCTAGAACAGTACAACACTCTGTGGAAACTGCATGCTCTGTACTAAGGCTCCGTTCACACTATGGCATTTTGTTGCGTGTATTTGTGCGCGCTGAAACGCACAGCAAAAAAAAAACAAAAAACACCATGTATTCCTGAAGCCCTCAATCACACCTAAAAGTAGAGGCGCGAGTAAAAAAAAACGCCTGTCAACAGAAAAACTGCATGAGCTTTTTTTCTGGGGCAGAAATTTGTTCACATAGACTCAATAGAAACCGCTAGGAAATGTGCTACATCAATATTTTGCATTTCCCATTTACAGCAATATGTCACAGATCTGCTTACAAAAACGCACAACTTAGTATACAAGTAGAAACGCACGGAAAACGCGTGCAAGAAAAAACCGTGTGTAATCTGCACTAAAACGCTGTCGCCTTGGTGTGAACAGGGCCGAAGTGCCAAGGTGACTCGCAGGATCCAGTCAGTGCACTAAGCACATGAAATATGGGCCCCTACAGCCCTCCAAGGCTCATCTGAGGAGAAAACTATTCTGGACAGTTGCTAAGAGGTACCGCAGTAGCTGTGAGCAGCTTAGTGCAAACTTATTAGATGAAAAAAATGTACTTCTTTCAGAGCAGACAGGAGGTGTCCATCACCAAAGGACACTAGCAACCGAGGCAGGCTAGGAGCAGAAAGGGTTTTACCGGGCTCTCCAGGAAAGATCAGCCTGCTTCTGAAACAAGCAGAGGAACTTTAGTTCAAACCCCTGATGGCTCAATAAAATGTAGCCGTTAGCCCCTTTGTGCCAATAATATACGAAAATAAAATTGCATTCTAAAAACCAAAACTATATAGACACACAGCTTATGTACAGATATATAGACTATTAGGATGCACATATACAAGATCCTTATTACAATAAACCGCATACAATGGCGTATTTCAACGTGCTGCGCATGAGCATTACTGTGAAAGCTACATCCCATTCTTAGTAATGGTGTATACAGTATATGCAGTAGACACATAAAAAAGGAAATTGTATATATTTTTTGTTTTTGTCATGCTGTCTCAAACAAACACACACCACTGCTGTACAAACTAAAACATACCATTTAACCTCTCTCTCTCTTCCCTGCGTTCCCGGGCTAATCTTTGTCTCTCATCGGTTCTTAAAGCTGAGCCATCAATTACTGTAAAAAACAGAAACAATTGGGATCACTTAATGCAGAGAGTTATTTGATTCCTTGTAAAATGTTTTATGAGAAATGAAGATTACCTGGCTTAGTTGTCTTTCCACTTACTGTGGAATGGACGGGAATGGGACTGGAGCCAACCTGGCTTCTTCGTTCATCAGCAAGTGCCTGAGCTGCAGCCACTGTTATAGAGAAAATGCAGAATGAGGCATTATTAGGGGATTGATAAATGACCAGTCACAATTCACCAACATGCTTTATTACAGAGCACTTCTACATAACCGTGCAGCTAGTAATAAAGACAAAATGAGTTCTCAGCACAATAATCACTCTTGGGGTGGTTACATACATCTTAAACATAGACTGCGGGACTGGCAGAAGCAGCTCTACAAGCAACTTGGAACACTCAGCTGGTATCTGAATTTGTACTGCAACATACACAGAATGGCACCATTCAGAGCCATCACAGTACAAAAGAAGCTTTAAAAGTGATTATCTGGACAAAGCAGTTTTTTTTTTAGTTTTAGACAGAGTAGGTAAGAATCAGAACCTCTGCCTGAACATGTTTCAATGAGAAGTCCATATACCCATCACACTCCTGACCGCTTAATCCAAGAATGAGCAGGTGGGTGCAAAGGGGGTCGACGGATGGCACAGTCACATGATATATGATAGGAACACCAGCACTCCAATTACAGATACGATGAGTCTTTATTGACGTGCATGCGACATATCACACATGCAATGTTGCGGGGTCACACAGGACCCCCTTGCCTGAGGAAGGGGATCCTGTGTGACCCCGAAATGTTGCACGTGTGTGATATGTCGCATCCATGTCAAGCTGTATTGGGGTGAGAGGTTCCAAATGTTACGGGAACTAATCAACATCTGGAGAAGATGGGGCCAGGACACAGTCAGGCTAGGTTCACGCCATTTTTTAATGGCACCCCAGTCGCGCCGCGTGAAACGCACTGTTTCCCGCCCATGCTAAAATAGCCGCGCGTATCACAAAAAAAAAAAAAAGGTACTTGTACCTTTTTCTGCGATTGCCACGCGGATGTCACCCCATTGAAATCAATGGGGCCACACAGCAATCGCTGCCTACATTGTGCAGGACCGCGCGGTCCCAGGTGTTGTGCGCTGTAGTGCAGGTGTGAACCTAGCCTAAAATGAATAAATTAGAATGGGGGAAAGTGTCATTTAAGATCATTGCAGAACACACAATACAGTTTACAGGTAGAAAATGAGAACAACTTTCAACAGCAATTTTTCCCATAACATTACAGATAAAAGAAGAATCTGTTCTTCTGGAATGACATCAGAATAAGTAAAAAGCTTCTTATAATTCTGGGGTAAGCTTCACAAATGGAACAGACAAAAAGATCATTTAGTCTATGCAAGCTAAAGACAAGCGCCCTTCTACACATCCGAATACCCACAAAGAACCCGTTCTATATAGAACTCCCATCTGTGATGCCAAGAAAAAGGTCACTATATCAATCTCTAACAAACCTAAAATACAAATTACTACAAATATAAAGAGCTATTAAAAGCATTCAGAAACCTTTTTTAAACAATAAGCATGAACATAGCATTTTGGCATTTAACTCAGACTTCGTGGCTTTAGGTTTACTGAATGACATTAAACAGGGTCACACTGAGCCTACTGTGACCAATAGCAGATAACAATGTCTTATTCACAGCATGCCTCAATGCAAGATCAATAATGCGTCAGCACCCAATATGTATGAAGGCATAAGCATTCACAAAGACAGGAAAAGCAAAACTTCAGAGCTCACAGCTGGAGAAGATGAAGTTTTTCAGTGAACCCGAGCCTAGACTACGCACGCTAAAGTATTCACATCCTAAACAAGCAGTAAGTGAGCGACTCCTTGTTTACCTCTGTAGCTATAAGCATTATGCAGAAATGATTTTCACCATAGGAGGCAAAGAAATCTTAGTTTTATTTTCTATGGAAAGCGGATGGTAACAGGCTGCCAGCCCATTAATGTAACCAAGCAGGAGATGCTTCTGAGCTATTCTAGGCCTGGTCACACTATAACGTTATGCTAAAGGCTAAAGGTGTCCATGCATTTAGCATGTGCTATCACACACTCCAATACACTGCACGCTAGGTGTGTTGGTGCATGGACATTACCATTCATTCTTAATGGCACTCCTATGCATCTCCCAGCTGGCATGCGTTGCAGTGCACACTACCACAATAGAATGCATGCACTTTTTTTTCAACACACAGCAACTCAAACTACTGCAGTACTGCCCACCAGAAGCTGCATTGGTGTGCCAAGCAAGATGAATGACATCGCAAAAGCACCCCTAGAGTGCAGTGCACTACAACACTATAGGGTGAGCTGGCCCTTAGAAACAAAATGAAAGCTAACTTTAGTGTGTTTGTTGTAATGTTTGAGAAATCAATGCACTTTAAAACTTTACAGTGCTTGAGGGTCCTGAGCGGATTGGTACAATACACGCTATATGTACCTAGACTCAGGATACTCGGTTGATTTAAAAAACATGCATGAAGCAGCCATTTTGATACCTGTGTAGAGGACCTAATCGTGATCACAAGGTACATGATCATGCACCCAGGTTTCTATCTCAGGAAAACATTCCCCATATATGCAGATGGATATCTGCTGGGAAGCCAATGATACTGACATTAGGGTATTGCTGCCCCCCTAGTGGAACCTCCACACCACTATATGCAAAAGGCATCAAACACTGGCGCCATCCAAACCAACCAACCAAAAAGCTTTGGGTACAGTTAAGATTTCAGCTGAACCCTTGTGAGCCAGTTATTAGGTAAAGGTTTTTTTTAGCCCAAATTAACAGATACCCTATTTTACTATATTAATGAATTTATTGATAATGTATTTTTAGTACTCTACATAATACACAGAGTGCAGCCCCTAACCCTAAAGGAGACAGTGACCCACCAGGAATTACCAAGAAGCCAGGGACAGGTGTCTTTAAACATTTTAGGGATAAGAACATCGGTCAGGTTTTTATTGCTGTCTGTGTCCCCTTTAGGAAGAGTCAATCTCTCTATCTTTCCTGGTGACTTATCACTGAAAGTGAAAAGAAAAACCTCAAATTTTGAGTTATCGCCAGAACAGTTCTAGATGGGAAATGTTCCAATGAGGACACTTAGTTCTGGTGACCCTGCTAACCACCAGGGATTTGGAGAGATTCTTTCACTTCCAGTTGTGGCTTTCAGACAGAAGCAAAAGGAAATGGGACAAAGATGGGGGGGGGAAAAAACTGACATGAGTTACAACCCTCCCTTACTCAATCCAAAACTAAAAAAAATAAAATAAATGTTTTATATATGATTTCTATTTATTTTTAGAGGTGTATATGTTACCAGGCTCCTTTACATTTAAAGCAGAACTAAAGACTGAAACTAGAACAGCTGAGTAGAAAGTGTCTGCAACACCCTACTGTCAATCCCTACACTGGCTTCCACTCACCCAGAGGATAAAATTCAAAATATTAACAATCACTTATAAAGCCATCAACAACATTGTCCCCGGCTATATCTCAAACCTGGTCTCAAAGTATCACCCTAACCGTCCACTCCGCCCTTCCCAAGACCTCCTGCTTTCCTGCGCCCTTGTCATTTCCTCCCATACTCGCCTCCAGGACTTCACTAGAGTCTCTCCCATCCTCTGGAACTCTTTACCCCAACCTGTCTGTCTGTCTCCCACCTTGACTGCCTTTAGGAATACCTTGAAGACTCACCTCTTCAGGGAAGCCTATCCCACCTCAACCTAACTGCTCAACCGTCACATTCTCAAGCAATTCATCCCCACACAGCTACCGCCTCAAGTATCACTTGCCCCTCCCTTTTAGACTGTAAGCCCTCAGGGGCAGGGCCCTCCTTACCATCTTGTCTTGAATTGTATTGCGATTGTAATGTCTTCCTTATATTTCAAAGCGCTGCGCAAACTGTAGGTGCTTTATAAATCCTGTATAATAATAATAAATACACGTGAACTTGTGATTCACATATATGCGCCACACTACACAGCCATGCAGTTTTAACACTGAGGGCCCGTTCACACATTCAGATCATCTCAAGACCAGACCAAATTATTTCCGGACCCAAAATGCATCCCTATGTTATTTCTGGCCTCTGTTCACACCAGTGCAGTCAGTCCCAGACCAGAAAAATACTGCATGTCTCATTTTGTCTGGTCTGGAATGCACTGGAACTGCGGCAGGTTCACACCATTTTCCAGACCAGATCTGCTCCGGAAAATGGTGTGAACCTGCCCTGAAGCTTCCACTGTCCCCTCTCTACTTCTAGTCAGTTTACCGAAAAATGAGTTAGGATCATTACCTCTGTTAAATGAACAGAAGGTGTGACCTAGGAAGCTGTAAAGATGAACCAGGAAACAGAATGATCCCACCGACTATGCAGTGTGACAGTCAGTAAGTGTACGAGAACATTTACAATACATGCACCTGAAATGTGTATTTAGCTTTTCACTCTGACACTTATTTTTGCAGGGCTTTGGTAAGATCGCTAAACCACACATTAGTCTCAGACTCAAAATCCAAATTTCTCTAAAAGACACACACACACACACACACACACACACTTTTGGCGTAAGCCAATGAACCTACCAGTATATATGGATAATAGGGGCAAACAAAGACGGGAAGAAAATACAAGCTGCATGAACATAGTGTCCCTGTGAAAATTAAATTTGGGTGCGAAACAACAGTGTTAATTATGGTGCCACCAAACAAAGAATGAACATAAAAAAATAAAAGTGATCACATTTGTTTGCAAGAAACCCCATTCTTCAATAATTGGTGTACTTCTAAAATAAAAATAAAAGGTGCTCACTGAGAGTTGAAGTTTTCTGGTCTCTGAAGACTTCATACTCAACAGGCTAGTCTATTTATTGCGCAGTCAAATAGGAAGGAAGGAAAGAACATTTCGCCATGGCAACAAGCATTGTCAGGATAATAAGCTTCCCCAAGGTAAAATGAAAGAACATCAAACTCCAAACAGAAAAATATGTTGCCAATGATTCGATATACGCACAGCCTGGATAGATTATATATTAAAAAGTACAGTAGGCCTCACAGCAGGTCTCTTATGTAATTGGAAATATACATCTCCTAGAAATGGTTCACACCTTATACTACT